TCAAGGGCGTATACTAAACAAAGTCTAAAACAAAAATTCCAAACATTTGGCTTCTTAGATACTTTAAAGGTACACATACAATCCAATTACCTTACAAGTATTATTACTTTATCTCTCCTTCAAAAAAAACTAGCAGAAAAAAACAGCAAATTAATTTTTTTAATAACTTTCACTCTTCAGTTTCAGATTTGAAAAGTGTGATAGCTCTGAGTTACAGGTCTAGGTGGGGGCACGGCCCCCCCCCCCGTGTACGCACTTTAGTGCATTTGATGTTAATACAAAGCAAATTGCTTTACTAGTAAGTTATGAATTCACTTATTAAGTGAATTTGGTCTGTTTACAATGTACAATTGATGTCTGTCTCATGTTCATTGGACTATTAAAAGTCATAACTTGAGTCTAAAAGTAGACTTCTTATTCCAGATTTTTCTGATTATTACTGGATGAATTAAAAATTTCTGTCTATAAACATTAGCAATGAAGCACCAGCGCTACTGACATTAGAACAAATCTTTTGAAGGTTGAATGAGAGATATATAACTAAATATTAAAATAAGTTGAAACCAGTGCAAACTTCAGTTTAAAATACATATTCTATTGTAAATTGAAATAGATTACCCAATATAAATCTGGAAAGTAAAATAAATTGACTTCATAAATCCGGAATTCGAGTTTTATGCATCTTTTCTAAAAAGGATTAAAGGAGTTGAAACTTTGCCACAAACTCAAATTTTCTAAACCCTAAATCTCTGCAACCTTATGGGGAAAACCTTTAATATTTCAAACTTATGTTATTTTATTTGACAGAAATCATTGTTTGAAATATTTAAGGTCTAAGATATGGGGTTGCAAAGATATAAAGATGAGAAAATTATAGTTTGTGTTAAAGACTCCATTCCTTCCTTAAAAATGGTTCACCGACATAAGGTCAAACGACCCAGGGTCAAACGACATAGGGTCAAACGATCTAGGGTCAAACGACGAACGGTCAAAAACGTGACAAAGGGTAAAACGACAAAGGGTCAAAATTAAGAAATAATATTTTATTTATTATTTCAGGGTAAGGTTAGGTTAAGACAATTTCTGGGCCGAGCGCTGCAGCTAGGACAAGCTAGGGGGCCTAGCGCTCCGGCTACTAGTTCTAATGAACATAAAAATAGTTCAAATTAACCAAAAATAGTCTGAATGAAATTTTGCCAGTTTGTCGCACTTTTTACACTTTGTCGCGTTTTTGACCGTTTGACCACATGGCATTTGATTGCCCCTAGGTCGTTTGGCCTTATGTCGGTGAATCTAAAAAATGAATGATCTGAAACTGTCCAGCTGCGGCGTGCTACTGATAAGCCAGCTGATTGTGTGGGCGCTGGTCAGCTTCAGTTCCTTTAAATATAATGATAACAGTTTAGACAACGAGTACTTTAATATTCTCACCCTTTACATAGGAGGACATGCAACCCTCATAGGTTAGTTTTACTCATATTTAGGATAATTCAATAAAAGGGACTGTTCACGTAATTTCAAGTGACTCTCCGTTTATTGAGTACCCTGTCGATCCATTCATAACGTCTGACCAAGAAATGAATGCTTTCCACTTATAAATAACCATTTTTAATTATGGTTTCTCTTCTAAAGTGAAAAGCAGATTTTGGTTGCAGAAACAATGAAGAAATTTGTAAGAATTAAACACTTAAAAAAATATAATCATTGGAAAAAGTGTTTATCCTGTTTTCCTCTGTTTACTGCCTTTATGAACTTCAGCCTTTAAACTACAAAGAGAATGTAGAATTCCTTCAAATTCACATTCCTCAACAAAATTAGCATTTAAATACATTGAAAACATTCAGAAAACAATCAACTGTATATGTAGATATATCGCATGGAGGAATTGCTGAAATGAATAGATTAAGCATTGATCCTCAAGTGGATCCCACAGTGGATATCAAAATCAAGCGATCGGGCTTATAAGTATTACAATGTCCTCTAGATTTAAAATTGGAGTCCCGTTGAAAAACCCCACTGTGCTATACAAAATATACAAGTTTTTTCATTTAATGTAATTGATATTCTTTTATTAAGAAGATGGAAGTTTTATCTTCTTTACATAAATCTATTTATTTGCAGTTTTATGTCAAATCATATTGGCTACATATTGTATTTTCTTTATATATTTTATAAATACAAACTAACAGGATTTAACAATTTTATTAAATGTCAACAGGTACCTTTTAGGAAATAAAGATAGTAATTTTAAATAGAAAAAAATAATTGAGTCGTTAACGGCAAAATGAAAATAAAAAATAACACCTTTTTTTGCGTATTGGTCGTCACCAAAGAGAATAGAATTTATATTAGAGTGTAATTTACATATTTGCGCTATATAACCTTTTGGGCCCTGGAACATAATTTTATAGAAAATCTAAAATTAATATTGAAAGAAAATCAAATTATGAAATAGGCTGGTTTCATAATTGACCAATGATCGTTTTACATAGACTCTATGCCTTTCATTTTACAAACGATGATTTTCCGTTATAACTATAAATCAAATGATGTTTTTTATTCGCCTAATTCATTTTATAAAGTTTATTTAACAGTTTTAAAATTTGAAATTGAGATGGATAGTCTACGGAACATACTGTATTAATGTACTCTACTGCATATAATTTGTGAACATTTACATGATTTGTACACTTTGAACTCCCTTTCAGGCTGAAAGGAACTGACAAAATTCATACCGAGGGATTGTCTAAATTCCACTCTAATATATATTCTATTCTCTTTGGTCGTCACTCAACTTTCATACAGTGATAACAACAAAACTCTGATAAGGGAAGACGACTTCCTATCAGTACTAAAGTATATTTGATGTTGTTTCAAAGCAATTAGTTTTACTAGACTCTTCTTAAACAACTAATTAAGTGAAATGGGTCTGTACACACTTCACAATTGTTGTGTCACATGATCATTTGTCTATTTAAACTATATAACTTTAGGTTAAAAGTCGGCTTCATATGTCAGAGTTTTCTGTTTGTATGTAATATTAATTCATATTCTTTAGAATTTCAGTAGATAAAGGAATTGATTACTTAACTTGTCGTTAACTCTTATTTTATCATTAATTTTACTATTAATGGTGTAAACAGTTGATATATAAAATATTGACTCTTTTCTCTATTGCAAAAATAGGTTCCAAGAATATGGGAACTTTTATATAAAAAAAGTTATTTAAATTGACCAATTCAAAATATTTCTTTTTCAAGTGTTTGCATGCTTTGGACTGGATAGAACAGGAAACACTTTTCATCTAATGGTTCAGGTTAGAAACCAAAATCATCAAATCCATCCATTTATCAACTTTATTCTTCATATTTCTGCCAGATACAAAACGGAACCAATGTGTATGTAAAAGAGGTTGAAGGAAGAGCTCTGTATAGGTTGGATACTCCGGAGAAGGTTCTAGAAACCAGGATGGTTTCATGCACAGAATACAATCTAAACCAAACCCAGGAAAGAGTATTGTTTTAACTCATTTTTTTCTCCAATTTCTCCAATTTAAAGAGAACCATCCCCTTTGACTGATCAGGGACTCAGAACAGGACCCTTTAAACCTTTGACTGATCAAGGATTCAGNCCTTTCAACCTTTGACTGATCAATGATTCAGAACGGGACCCTTTAAACCTTTGACTGATCAAGGATTCGGAGTAGTACCCTTTCAACCTTTGAATGATCAAGGATTCAGAACAGTACCCTTTCAACCTTTGACTGATCAAGGATTCAGAACGGTACCCTTTAAACCTTTGACTGATCAAGGATTCAGAACAGTACCCTTTAAACCTTTGACTGATCAAGGATTCAGAGTAGCACCCTTTAAACCTTTGACTGATATCGGATATATCCCTATTAATCTACTGAAACCCTTTTAATTGCTAAACAGTAAACACTTTGTTTGCAAGCTGTTATATATGAAAGAAATATCTACAATTACTTTCTAAAAGTGACTGAAAATAAAAATTTACTTTTGAATGTTTGAAAACTGAAGACCTAAGTTTAGAAACCGTAGCTAGTAATCCTTAAATTTCCGTACTGCATTTCTCTGTTAACCGTACTGAATTGTTTTGTTTTGAACAGGACGAGAAGAAGAAAGAAAACTACTAGATTGCAGGAAAAATAAACATGAAAGGAAGAAAAACGATAAAGAAGACGGAGAGAGAAGAGGAGAAAGAGAAGGCGAAAGAAAACGTACAGTACATGAAAGGTAATAATCGAAAAAACGAGAGACGGGAGAAGAGAAAAGGAGATTGCAGGAAAAACAAACATGAATGGAAGCAAAAGGATAAAAGAGAAGAAGAGAGAAGGGGAGAAAAAGAGAAGGAGAATGAAAACTACTGTGGGGGGAGACAGGGATGGAAAGTAGAGGGGAAGGAGAAGGGAGGGGGAGAAGGAGGGATGGAAGGAAGGGGGGGGGAGAAGGGAGAAAGGAATGGACATTAGATCGTTCTTATTCTAAAAAGGAATTGAGTCTTTGTCACAATCTAAAGTATTCTAATCCCTATATCTTAGCAACCTAATGGCCTTAACCTTTGATATTTCAAACTTAGATGATTTGATCTAATAGAATGCATAATTTGAAATATCTAAAGTTTACGACATAGTGTTGCAAAGATAAAGGGATTAGAAAATACTCAAATTATTTTGCTTACTTGCGTGGGAATAAATTGGCCTGAAAATGGTATCGGTATCTCTGGATTCAGGCAATTGAGTCTCTCTCTCTATATTGCAACCTTTGATCTTTCAAACTGAGACTATTTGATCTAACAGAATTAATAGTTTTAATCACCTGAAAATGGTCTCGGTATCTCTGGATTCAGGGAATTGAGTCTCTCTCTCTATATTGCAACCTTTGATCTTTCAAACTGAGACTATTTGATCTAACAGAATTAATAGTTTTAATCACCTGAAAATGGTTTCGATATCTCTGGAAAAGTTAAAAACTTGAATTTGTAAAATCTCTAAACAGAACTGACTAATCTAGAAGAGAAGTGAGAAGATGAGTATAGTTGTAAACCTGACTGATCCTGGTTGTTTAAACCTAATCAAGGAGAGAAGAGAACTGTTATTAAACTATTCAATAATAATCCTGGAATATTGGGAATACAAATCCTCTTCACCCTATCCTAAAACCGCAGGTTAACATTTTTCACATTGGTTTGAATACAGAGCATCCCTATCTTGCCATATTATCTCTAAGCTAGATATGTGAAAATACAGAGTCAGAGAGTAGTCAAGGAATTCTATATATTGGCTGCATACTACTTTTTAGTAGAGCCTTTTTAAATTCTAAAACGATTTGATCATTTACTTTTTCTGTAAAGTTCCGAAAATCCTAATTTAGAGCCAAGAACGATAAGATGCGGGATACCCTGTGCTTCCTGAAAACACCAGCCACATATCCTACATATTTTACCAAACTCAATATTCACTATACCACACTACTGTATCACCAGTTTACCACATACTACTGTATATCCACTATACCACACTTCTGTATCACCATTTTACCACATACTACTGTATATCCACTATACCATACTACTGTAAATCCACTATACCACAATACTGTAACACCAGTTTACCACATACTACTATATATCCACTATACCACACTACTGTATATCCAGTTTACCACATATTACTGTATATCCACTGTACCATACTACTGTAAATCCAGTACACAACACACTATTATATATCCAGTACACCACACTGCTTTCATAAATACCACACAATTAGCTGTGTATTTTAATGTAAAGTTTTGTAAACCAGATTCTAAACTTGAGTTCCCTGTATATATTAGACTAACCTGCAATATGATTGATAAACCGAGATAGTTTTAAAAGAAAGCATAGTTTAGTTTATGTCTGTAATGAATGTATCCAGGTGGTATGGATATTCAGTTTAGCTTATGTCTGTTATAAATGTATCCAGGTGGTGTGGATATTCAGTTTAGTTTATGTCTGTTATAAATGTATCCAGGTGGTGTGGATATTCAGTTTAGTTTATGTCTGTTATCAATGTATCCAGGTAGTGTCGATATTCAGTTTAGTTTAAGTCTGTTATAAATGCATCCGGGTAGTGTCGATATTCAGTTTAGTTTATGTCTGTAATAAATGTATCCAGGTGGTGTGGATATTCAGTTTAGTTTATGTCTGTTATCAATGTATCCAGGTAGTGTCGATATTCAGTTTAGTTTATGTCTTTAATAAATGTATCCGGGTAGTGTCGATATTCAGTTTAGTTTATGTCTGTAATAAATGTATCCAGGTGGTGTGGATATTCAGTTTAGTTTATGTCTGTAATAAATGTATCCAGGTGGTGTGGATATTCAGTTTCTCAAAACTTTACAAACCTCTTCTCTTATCTCAGTGGGGAAACCATTTGTAGGCTTGCTAGAGAAGGGACTAGGTGAGTTTCACACCTAAGATTCGGAAATATTTAAAGGGAGTGTTTGCGAAAAGTAAAGGGAGAACCATGGGCTAAACAGCTGGTGTGTACTGCCCTGATCTGCAGTACACTGACCGAAAAAATACCATGGCTACCTGAAATGTGCTTCATAGTCAGGACATTTCATATATAGGATATTTCATAGACAGCACATTTCATATATAGGATATTTAATTGACAGCATATTTCATATATAGGATATTTCATAGACAACACATTTCATATATAGGATATTTCAAAGACAGCACATTTCATATACAGGATATTTCATAGACAACACATTTCATATATAGGATATTTCAAAGACAGCACATTTCATATATAGGATATTTCAAAGACAGCACATTTCATATATAGGATATTTCAAAGACAGCACATTTCATATATAGGATATTTAATTGACAGGATATTTCATATATAGGATATTTCAAAGACAGCACATTTCATATAAAGGATATTTCATAGACAGCACATTTCATATATAGGATATTTCAAAGACAGCACATTTCATATATAGGATATTTCAAAGACAGCACATTTCATATATAGAATATTTCATAGACAGCACATTGCAAAGCGTTCTTAAAATTTTCATTAAATATAGTCCTGGAGAATATGTTTTTATTTTATTTACAAAACTTTATTTAAAAAAACTACATGGTTTCCAAATTTATACGTAAATGAAATCCATCAAAAATCTATTATGCATTTGTCTGATCTGTTAAATCTCCTTCATTGAAATGTCTTTCTATGTAAATTGTCTAATCTGTAAAATGTCAATGTATGAAAATCCATCTAAGAATAGTCCAACACCCATTCTTTGGGTGTGTAAACAAAGGTTATTACTAAGTTCTCTCTTCAAAAACATTAGGTAGAAATGAAATTAATACCAATCGATTCATAATTTTGTAATCGTAAATCTCATTTTTAGGAAACAGTGTAAAAACATTCGACCCAGAATACAAAATATAGATAGAAAACTATTTTTTCTCTCTCATGTTTTTTTATAAATAAATTGTCTCGGCTCTGCAATGTAAATACCATTTACCTCTCTCTTTCACTGCGTCAGTTTTAACAGAAAACCAAGTAAAATTTTCCATTTTACAAAGGAATTCAGTTTTTGCCACAAACTCTGTTTTTCTAACCCCTATATCTTTGTGACCCGATGTCATAGATCTTAGATATTTCAGACTATGATCAAATAGTTGTAGTTTGAAATATCACAGGTTTACACCATCGGGTTGCAAAGATATAGGGATTAGAACATTTGAATTTGTGGCTAAACCTCGATTCCTTTGTACCAGACGGATAATATTAATTTTTTAAGTTGCAATAAAAATCCGCCAGAAAAGTTTTTTTATATTTAAAATCAAAAGTCGAGAAGCAATTTAAAGAAAATTGATCAAATACTCCAGTCCAAAAAAGTAATGAGCGTGAATTTATTTCTAAGAAGACTACCCGGCCTGTTACCCCTAGCATATTTTGATATTTTTCATCCAGTTATTGAGAAAGAAAGGAATTAGGTCTTTGCGACAAACTAAAATGTTGTTGTTCCTTTATATTTGCAGAAAGATACTGATATTGATATTTTCAAGGTAAAGGCAAGGAAAGTTAATTGCCGTTGCGTATACTCTGCGTACATATGGAAACCAGTTCTCGCTGGGCGGAATTTGTAAACAAGAATAGATGCATCAGTGTTCGTTTCGTATTTGAGGAGGTTAAAAGCATAAAATTTTGATAATTTCAATAATTCACATAATAGTTTCTTATGACCAGAATATTTCATTGATATTTTATGTGAAAGATGGATCCCATGTTAGGCTTCGACACCAGTTTTGTGTTTACATTACCGCCCAGACAGAACAATGCAGTACATAAGATGCGTACACCTCTGAAATAACTTTCCTTGCATTATAACCTTGGATAATTCAAACTTGGATTCTTTGATCTAACAAAATTAATAGTTTGAATATCTAAGGTCTACGACAAATTGGGTTGCAAACATAAAGAGATAGGAAAATCAGATTTTGTGGCTAATTTTGTTAATCAAAGGAAGTTAAAAAATATCGTCAACCAAAAAATTACAAAATATATTTAAAGGAATCGAGTTTTTGCCACAGACTCAAAAGTTCTAATCCCTATATCTTTACAATCTTATGACGTATTTTAAACTTAGATGTGATCCAACAGAATTCATAGTTTGAAATATCCAAGGTTTATTACACTGTGTTGTGAAGCTAGATATAGGGATTAAAAAATTAGAGTTTGTGGCAAAGACTCAATTCCTTTAGATTTAGTATGATTAATTGAACTTAGTGTTTTTATACACTTTTTATATAAACTTTCAATCCTTTTCAAACTTCCGTCATTAATATTAATATGCATAGTGTGGCACACTTGTGACTTAGTGGGTTGTTGGGCGATTTATCTTCAATCATTAAATTTATGCAAACTGGGAAATTTTCCATAATTATCATTTTTTATACATTTAAAATAATTACAGGGACACAGGGAAAATGTTTTATTTATCTATGTATGTAAAAATGTATGCTCTTAATATTTGTTTTTTTAATGTTTAGAAATTAAATTAAATCTAAAATATCTAATATATATTTCTGAAATTTCAATTGAATTTTAGAAATGAACTCGAAGCTGAGTATACAACGGAAACCAGGGTTGAAAGGTTTAAAACAATCTCCGTCCGATTATTTGTCAGTATCCTGTCCTTCAGCCTGTATCCACACCCGGAGTAAGGACGGGATTCATCTCAACAACAAAGGAATCCGAAACAAAGTATTTAGAAAATGAAAATATAAAAACTAAATTTTTGAAATTAGACTGAATCTAGTTCTCCGGACTCTGGAATATATTGTGTTGTATATTTCGGAATAAATTCAACTTTACTACATCTAAACTTCTCTTATTCTTCTTAAACGTGGAGGCTGTAAACCCTTTAGAATACAGAGAACAATGAATTATTATATCAGACCCGGAGATAAAAGAGAATCAACGAAGATTTTCTGCATTGTCTTTGTGCAATAAATTGCTTTAAAGTGCTTTGTTGTCCTTTTATATAAACCATTGCAGTATTATCCATGTCATTGAGTGTCTTGACTGAAAGGCCCTGCACACTACTTAAAATAACCAATAATCAAAAAAATATGCTTCTTTAAATTGATGGAATCTTTTTGTGTTGTGGCTTGTCTGTCTGATTGAATCCAATAAACGGCAAAACGGCTGAGTCGATCGGACCCAAATTGAAGAATCTGACCCATTCGTAATTGAAGAATGTTGCTAGAAAAAAAAGAAATGAAATTTTTTTCTCAATGAATATACAGAAAAATCTACTGTCAGGATGCCCAAAGAAAAAATGACTACTTGAAAATTGTAACTGGAAAAAGAGACATAATCTAGCTAATGCATAAAAATAAATAAAAGAAGAAAAAATAATATCTAAAATGTTTTGAATAACCTTCTTCTGGGCTTTATTGTATCTGTCTGATGTGCATATACTCTATTGTTTTGAATCTCTAAGGATATCCGTCCATTGACATTCATCTCACTATAGAGGAAGATGCATACAGCCAGGACGTTTATTCGCTCCGGGAGGGAAGAACAACTGTGAGGAAGGAAAATCTACATTGTGACAATACTCCGGATTACAGGGGATTAGAAAATAGTTTCTGTGATATAGAAACCAATTTCTGGGATGAGAGATATATCAGGTACTTACACACTACAATCACAATTCAAGATTTGTATTTCAATTTGTTCCCGAAAAGTTCAATGCGTTCTGACTGTGGAGTAGTTGTTTACTTAGATCAGGGACAAGAATTAATGAATTTGAGATAGGTCTAGAGACGGTTCAACCACGTATTTTGAATCAGTGATTCAGTATTTGTCCGAGCTTCGTATAGAACTAAACTACACGGCAGCACTACAGATAAATATTTAAATCGGCAGAAATATTTCCCTGGTGGGGGCTTAAAACTTTTTTCTTCCCAGGCCAGCACCTGAAATCCCCTCTAGATCTAAATTGGAAGTATAGGTAGTAGGTAATTTTGACCACGTTTCATTTCTAATCGTGCATCATCAATGCTAAGTCGGCATTTTTCGAGCCGGTCAAGTCGGCCCAGTTCGTTTTATGCAACAAATGTAGCATGGCAAGATCAGAGTGAACGATTTTAACTTAACTTACTTAAGTAATGTTCGCAATTTTCATTTCTTCTCTTCTTCGACCCAAATTTAATATTTTAATCTAAGTTATATTTCCAGTGAAAATTTAATTCCCAGCCGTGCTGGGTTTTATGATGCATTAACATAATATAATATTTAGTAATTACATTTGCTGCCAGTCCGTGGGTTCTTCCGTTCTAGGAACCCTTCCCTGTAGGAACCAGAGCCTGGATATCTGCTGGGGATCCTGGGGTACCTGGAGCAGTTGCCAGCAGTCCTGGATCCAGGTTAACTTTAAATATTTTTACTTGCGACAGTGTAAATAAAAAATATGTTATTATCTGATTGGAATTTTAAAAATGTGTAAATAAGAAATCTAATTTTGATGTTTTTTCAATAAAATCTCTGGAGAAGACAGAAATTGTTTCTATAATGTGACTTAGCAACTTAATAACGCCTGATGTATTTAATGTTACAAATGAATGTGAAGGCATGGTCTTGATTTTGTATATAAGGAACTAAAGAACTTTTTTAAAATAACTTTCAAGTAACATTTTATTTTAAAAAAAGTGAAAAGGATTTGATTTTTTGCCACAAACTCTGATTTCCCAATTCCTATAACTTTGCAACCCATTTTACAAGACCTTTGATATTTCGAACTATTCATTCTGTTAGATCAAATAGTCTAAGTTTGAAATATCAGAAGGTTACACCATAAGGTTGCAAAGATATAGGGGTTAGAAAAAGCGAGTTTGTGGAAATAACTCAATTCCTTTGTATAATGTTATTACTTATAACAGGGTGAACAGATCCGACTGGTCCGGACCAGGTTTCGTTTAGCACGGAGCGGAGAGGAATGCGTCCTTGCGGATATATTCAACCAGGACTGTTTTACAGGGGATATTTTGGGACCATGCTCATCAAACCTTTCCCGAACCATGCTTCATCCCTGTTAAATCTTTTAATATAACTTGTTTGTAAAATGAATTATGAATTCTAAGAAAATACCCAGGAAAATATCTAAATGTAAGGAAAGGAACTTTCATTTTCCAATACCTATATCTTTGTAATCTTTGACGTTTTTGGGCTGCTGAAGAACTAGTTTATGCGTAACAACAATAATAAAGATTGTAAACAATAACACAAATTATTAACAAACATCTGGCATTTCTGGCGTTAGATGAAGATTCACCGGATACTAACTCATGTTTGTTTACATTAGATCGGCTGCCTTTGTTATTGTTGTTACGCAAAAACTAGTTCTTCAGCTATTCAAAAACGTTACAGCAAAGTGTACGGAAACCCTATCGCCCCCTCCTTCTATTCAATTCTCCTTGTTTTTTACAATCTTTTAATATACAGGGTGCGCAGTAAAGATTGCAACTTTAAAACAATTATACGCATTAAACCCAGTTTAGACATCTGATTTAATTGATTTTACGTATATTCAATGTTTGGGATTATAGATTGAATATATTTCATCAAATTTAACCTTCTTCAACCTCAAGAACGTCCTCTACTGGACCTCTAAACTCAGTACACATAGTACACAACCAGTCCTAATCCAACCCAATCCATCCCAGAAGACAGTAGTAGTGATCTTCAACTAAATTGATCGTTCTGAATACCTTCCATGTACCTCATCTTGAATTTGAGTAAAAAAAATTAAAAACCAAGACATTTGGGTCTGGGTAGCAATGGGTTCTATTCCCCAGAGACCAAAATAGCCAACCCGTTATCAGAGAAACAGTTGAAATATTTGTGTGAGGAAGACCAAGACATAGCTATAGGAGCAATTTTTGATTTCAAAATTTTCTGGAACACCTAGCTATTGACGGTTTCCTTGTTTCAACAAAAATACAGAGCAGGTTTCTTGCACCCACTCCCACTGCGGCTAGGACCATAAGTGAGGTAGAATTTTTTGTCCTTTCTGTTCACCATGCACCTGTAAGTTTATCTATATGCTGAATAAACCGAAAGTGTCGAGAATATTTTGACTTTTCAACATTTGATTTTTTTAGCCAAATTAATCCTTTTCTTTGGTCAACAAGATTTCAGCAGGTTTGAAATCTTATTGCAGAAGGTCAGACGCTGCTTTTGCGTAAACGTCTGTAAATAGAAAAAAAACCTTTTGCTACATGTTTAAGCTTAGAAACCGTTAACAAGTTTCCATCATTACTACCCATACTGTTTATTTACATTTCAGCCTTTATCTGAGAAACGATAATGGATATATCTTAACAACCTTCCACCGCAGCTTAATTTTGTAAAGAGAATAAAGTGTATTTTATTGCAGCTCACATAAGCAAAGGCAAACGCGTTGCCAAAATTTGTCAAAATTCAAGAATGAAAAATGATGGGCTCTATCCATAGAGAATAGAATATATAGAGAGGAATTTACTAGAAAAAGTGTAAAACGGCCATTTTGTTGTACTGTTTCCATACTGCAGGTGTACTTCACATATTTATGCTATATAACCTGTTGGGCCCTGGAATATCATTTTATAGAAAATCTAAAATTATTGTTAAAAGAAAACCAAATTATGAAATAGGCTGGTTTCATAATTGACCAATGATCATTTCACATAGACTCTATGCCTTTCACTTTACAAACGATGATTTTCGTTAATACTTTTAATTCAATGATGTTTTTTATTCACCTAATTCATTATAAAGTTTATTTAACAGCTTTAAAAATTTCGAAATTGAAATGAATAGTCTAGGGAACATACTGTATTAATGTACTCTACTGCATATAATTTGTGAACATTTACATGATTTGTACACTTTGAACTCCCTTTCAGGCTGAAAGGGACTGAAAAAATTCATACCGAGAGATTCTTTTAAATCCTCTCTATATATTCTATTCTCTGTGGCTCTATCATGTTTTAAGGAGCTCAGATGTCAATCGTAAACTTAAAATTTTCAATTTCTTTAATTTTCAACTTTTTGGCCTAAAGAGTCCAAATTACAATTTGTGAAACTATTCTTATTGAATGATTTATATAAATTGTAGACTATTGTATTGATCAAACAAATTATTAAATATTATGTTTGTACACTACATACACTGTACATCTGTACAGTGTGCATACACTCTCAAGAAAATAAAACTTTAAAACTGTTCCATGCATCTGCAATAAAATAATTTTCTGTATTCAACTTAACATTCTTTTAATTATAAATATAAATATATTATAAAAATGTCGTTTATTCAGCCATATTTTTTAAATTACAAATTCTTGTAATTTTTTAAAGACAATTGGAAGGCGGAGATATTTAATATTTTTCCTTTTGATCTTGGTTTTGAAAGAGTCTAAGGTCGTCAATAAAATTCATTGTTTGAGAGTGGCCCTGTATAATTAATCTGGCGATCATGTACTTCTGCTCAAAACATTGTATATTTCTGTCATGAAATCCTTTTGTTGTACCAGCACAACATCCCATCATAAGAATATCCTAGTAACACTAGTATCTGTATTTTGTTTTAATATGCGAATTAATGTAATGAAAAGATCAACATGAAAAAAAGAAATTATATATTAAACAGAAACCGAAAGGCGTTTCTTATCTTATTTTAAGAAGCTCTTATATTAATTACATATAGTGCATACATTAAAGGAACAAAGGACAATAAACACAAATCCTTAAATGTATACCCTGAGCTGGAAATACTTTAGTGGATAATCTTAATCCTGTTCGCAACATCTTGATATCCACTGTGGATAGTTTTGTTTTCTGCTTTATTTTATCTGCAAAATTTCCCGGCTTCTGATTGCTGTTCGATTTTGCAAATGGCATCGTGATTGGCTGAATTTTAGACACTGAATATCCAATAAAGATTGAATAAAGGAATTGAGACACAAACTCTGCTTTATAGACCATATATCTTTGGATTCCAATGTCGTAGACCTTAGATATTTCAAACTATGAATTCTGTTAGATCAAATAATATAAGTTTCAAATATCAAAGATTTACGACATTGGGTTCCAGAGCTATAGGGATTATAAATTCAGAGTTTGTAGCAAAGACTCAATTCCTTTGCAAATTAAAAAATAGAAGAGATCAAGCACTATTCTCAATATCCACTGTAAAAGAGATTCCAGCTTGGAGCTGGGAACTTTTTGTTAGATATTCTTAATCCCAATCGCTTGATCTCTATATTTATTTCGGGCACTTTATATTTAAGAATCAATGCGTAATCTCTTCTATTCAGTTATTCCTCCAAGGAACGATTACCGTTCGGGATTTCAAGTAAAGAATTAGTCAATCTGCAGATTAACAAAGGCTCAAGATTTGAGGATTGATCTCGATATCTACAATACAAAAGTTCACACTTATGAACAGATTTTTTAATTGTAGAATGAGCATATTCTAATCAAATCCCCGCTTTCATACCAGCAGTCGTCTTTACAAACTCACTTTTCCTGCTGACGTTCTGTTTTTGGCTTTGTCTTTGAAAAAATCCGTTTTTGTCTATCTTTGAAACGTTCTGTTTTTTTTTGTCTATCTTTAAGACAATCTGTTTTTGTCTATCTTTGAAACATCTATTTTTGAAACAATCTGTTTTTGTCCATCTTTGAAACGTTCGTTTTTTTGTCTATCTTTGAAAGAATTTCAACAAAGATTTCAAATTAAAAAGAATGAGTTGAGAAAGTAACCACCTCATTTGTATATTTACTTAATAGGAATTTCAATCTAAATATCGTGATATATATCGTTTATATCAATTTAATATTAATTTTAAATCCTTAGCAAATCTAAAGCGTTAATTTAATGATTTGTAAGTGAGAAACGATGTAAAAAGTACATCCCTGTACTATATCAAGTAAACTATCAGAAGATGTTTATATTAGGTTTTATGTTTAGAGTTTTCAGTCCTAGTTTAGCCTCAGCTTTTATATCCTAGGATATATCCAAGGAATTTAGCAGACAGGATTCTACATTTTCAGCTTCAAGGACAGGACTGTTTTGAATTTTGAATGTGACATGGTTTAGTATGGCAAGCACTAGTCGAAGTTCCAGGCACGCGCGTTGACTATGGAGTCTCAAAAATCGTCCAACACGTGGCAGAAAAAGAAATCCTGTGCCGAAACGGTTTTATTAAGGTTCAAGGTTAAACTACAAATATGTTGTAGATCAGTATTATGGAAGTCATATCCTTTTTTTTTATCAATTTCTATTTGGGTTAAATCTGGTTTTTAGGGTTTCAGTTCATTGTCATTTAAATCTTTGATTTTAGAGGACTTTTAACATCCTGTGTGTCTCAGTATTCTCAGTCTCAGCCTTGTAAAGAAATTTGGACTCTCTCTGACAAGAGCAAGGAATTATTGCATTTTCTTAATATCTAATGCAAATTTATAGGTTTTGAATGACATACATTTGTTTTTATGCAGAATCATTATGTTTCTATTCCGCAATACCCTTGTGCTCATTTTACCTATTGGAGTCCAGGCAAGTTTGCTACAAACAGAAGAGTGAGCATAAACTCTTTCTTCGGCTCACCTCAATTGTCACTGATTGTTTATCATATATATATTTCAGGTAGATAGTTTAAACAGGGGTCAACCCTGAACTGAAAACACTGAAATCAGTCCATGGTTATGTTAATTACATACAACAACAAAATTGCTAGCCTTAAATAATAACTTTTCTCCATGTTAAAAAACATTTAAATTTATATAAATTAAAAGTTCACTTACAATATTGATTTTTCCGGAGGTTTGTAGTAATAACTTGATCACTGATCATTGATCACAAGCATCGTATTCTAAATAAGTAACTGTGTTTGATCTAGAGGAGGAGCGTTATATCAGGGATACAGTATCAGGATGTAGCTAATCCTGTTCACGGTCCTGCCGTCGGAGGTATCGGAGGGGAGCAGGACAACCAAGTCAGGGTCGTCGGAGATCTGATATAAGTAGAGATGGAGGTGCTCTAGGCACCCCGGACTAACCAGAGTGAAAAGCATTCGGTTTCTTTTATTTGAAATCAAACGTGTTTTGGTCTATAGTTTAAAAATCTTTTTTGTTATACTTTTTCGTTCAAAATGTTTATGCCGACAAAAAAATATTTTTAAAAACGCTAACAAATTATGTATAAAGGGTCAACTTGTGATCGAAAGTCACAGCTTTCTAAAATATTGACAGAGCCGTTAAATCCACGTGTAGGATACTATCAGAGGTAGCATAGAACTATAGCTCAGACTAAGCGTCCAGAGACTGCAGGAACACTCGGACTTAGTTGACATTGGAGTCTTGTATACGTAGAGAACTCAATCCAAGCGTCCAGAGATACAGGAACACTTAGATTCCGTTGAGATCGGAGTCTTGTATACGTAGGTTTTTTATCATGACCTACCCAAGACTCAGGGTGTCGAGATTAGTAGGTGAGAGGAGGGGAGAGCATCTTCATCCTGGAGACCAAGGATGCAGATAAGATTAGCTCCGCGATGCAGCGAAGGTTAAAGCTCTCGAGATCAACAGGAACTCAGAGCCAGCCTAGCATAAGAGTTGTTGAAGTGGTTGTGAGAGTTTAGGATATTTTTCAAGCTCAACATTGAATATTTATAATAAATTAGCTGGTTCAGTGCAAGGAGACGAGCACAGTAGTTTATAGGACGATATCACAATTATCAACAAATCTACACACATTATATAAACCATCCGTTAGAAAAGGTTGAGCAACATTGTGTAGAAAGCTTTCATGTGAATATTTAGATCACGGAGGGTTTAAAAACCTGGAGAAAGAGAAACGAAAGCAGGTGGTCTGAAAGACAAGACCAATTCTTTAAAAGGAAGTGGCTAGACTTTTTGGCACAATTAAACATAGTTTCAAGTATCGGCTAGACTTTTAAGCATTTATAAAATTAATTTGCAGTCTTTAAAGTCATTTTCCATCATTTTTTCAATCATAAAATCATTCTCAAATTCAAGATATAAAATAGGCCTTTAAAATGTTTATACGTTAAACTCTAAGATTATATAAAACATTTTGGACATTAAAAGTAATTGTAGATTCGATGTATTTGTAGAGATTTATACAAGAGTAATTGTAGATTCGATGTATTTGTAGAGATTTATAGAAGAGTAATTGTAGATTCGATGTATTTGTACAGATTTATAGGATTAGTAGATTGAAAATAGAATTTCTCTGTAGGACGATCTTGAGAACATTTTGAGTATGAACACCCTGAACACATCATCTACATATATACATATATACATACATATATATGATGCGTATAGACGGCCAAACGCCTGGACCGATTGGGCTGACATTTTTTGTGGACACTTAAAACTTAAAAAAAGTTTTTTTTTTCCACGGGCAACGCCGGGCCCTTCATCTAGTAGTTTATTAAGATCCTCAGATCTTGCAACCCTATATATAGTCTTATATTTGAATATATTTGAAGCAACTGGGTGTCAAAGTAAACATGGAAATTAAATAACGATTTTGAATCGCCTTCGATCTCCGCGGCATTCAATTGTAAATCTGGTAATTCTAGTAACAAACTCAAAAACAAGCCGTTGTCCTTAATTCTGAGATTTTTAAAGTGTGGTCTGCTTGTTTTGTACCTTTAAAACTGAGATAATATGTCTTTTTAAAGTTTATAATTAAATTTCATCGAAAATATCTAAATGTTCCATTATTTTGTTCAGGATAAACAAGGACGGTGGACCACATTTAAAAATCGCAGAAATTGTTCAGTCATCTATTCAAAAGAACGACGATTTAATGTCGTCATTGAATTCCCAAGTTCCTCATGACACTCTGAACTATGCAGATGGTAGAATATAAAGATTCGTATTTCTCCCTTTAAAGTTTACATATTCTACTGGATCGAGGTTTGCATAACAATAGAATTATCAACAGAAGGAAACTCTCAACTGATAAGAAAGTAACAAAGTTAGAGAACATAGATTGCATTTTGTATAAAGGGAAAAGTGTTGGATTTTAATCTTACATGAAAAATCATATTTAAGATTTCTGAGAAGGAAACAAGGCCATTTTAAAGTAAAATACAAAGTTACACTTATCTTCACCTTTTTGTGTTTGTTGTCTATTCTAAACCAATAGAAATAGCATAGCGGTAACATCTATCTTTCTATCTATCTCATTATCCAATTAGAGTTATGAATCCTTCAAAGTTACACTTATCTTTACTTTTTTATTTTGGTTTCCTGAATTTAATAAAATTTGAAAATTTAAAAAACTGGTGTTAAAAAGTTTACATCTCTAACAAAAGTCAGGACAACATCAATAAGTTGATTATTATTTAGGACCAGCTGAAGGACCCGGCGTTGCCCGTGGAAATTTTTTTTTTAAAAAAAACATTAAAAAATATTAAAATAAAAATAGATTTTGTTTTTTTTTAGCCTGAGACACCCCCGGCTACCCATTAGTGTCCACAAAAAAATTCAGCCCATTCGGTCCAGCCGTTTGGCCCGCTATAGGCAACATATATATGAATGTCTTGTTTTATTACATAGTTTAGTTAGGTAGAAACACTTTTCCAATATCTGGAGAAACCTACAAATCTGATGCGGACATTTTTTTCACTTTAACTGAAGCGATTTGTATGCTGTTGGTACTTTTTTGCCCTTCAAGGTCAAAATTCGGCAGAAAATATAAAAAAATAAAAACGGTCGTGTTGTATTTAATACAATCACCTGTCATATAATATATTTGGTCAATTGTCTTCTTGCGAAACATTTCAATATGTTTCCTTTCTTGTCTAATGTCTTATTTATTATACTTTATAGACCCAACATTGCTCAGTTTCCACTCTATTACAAAGAAAAGAATTGAATAGCTGTGAGGAGGAGGGAGAGGGGGGGAGGGTATCTCATTTCCGACTGAAGAGTTTTACAAATAAATGACACGTTCTTTATTTTTGGAAGTTCAATTTGAATTCGGAATAAGATTTGCCAATTTATTTAGTTGCATACGATCTAGGATACGAATACATCCTTTTATTTTCAATATTGAATAAATTATCTTTTTTTTCAGTAGACAATTTAGAGCTTACAATTTAGTCGGTAAAAGTCAAGGAAATAAGCCACTGAATGTAAATGACATAAGCCAGTGAAAGTCAATAACATTGGTCATTGAAAGTCTAAAAAGTCAAAAGGTCACTGAATTTCAATAAAAATAGTCAATTATAGCAGTCGAAAAAATTTACAACTGAAAATGAATAAATAGATTGACTATGATTAAAATTTTCTAAAAAATAATAGTCTTTCCTAGAACTTATGAACTCCTAACCCCAGTGTTTCAGAAAAATAATAAATATTTGACTTTTAAAGTTTTCCGAGGAAAGAAACTCATTAATAATTCCTCTCCCTTATTTATTATTCAGACATCTTTCCCATTTCAGAAATTGTGTTTCTAAAAATCAACTGCAGAACCATTATACACCATTATACATACTTGGAAATATGGATGGAAGGACTGAACTGCCTAAAAATATGGATAGAGGGACTGAACTGCCTAAAAATATGGATGGAGGGACTGAACTGCCTAAAAAAATGGATGGAGGGACTGAACTGCCTAAAAATATGGATGGAGGGACTGGAATACCCAAAGATGGGAACGAAGGAACTGAATTGAATATGGATGAAAAGTCTGAACTACCCAAACACAGGGATGGAAGGACTGGATATACCAAAGATATGGATGGAGGGACTGGACAAACCAAAGATATGAATGGAGATAATGGACTAACCAAAGACATGGATGGATGGACTGCTCTAAATAAAGATAAAGATGAAGGGACTGGACCTACCGAAGATATAGATGTATGGCCTGCAACAACCAAAGATATGGATGGAGGAACTGGACAAACCAAAAATATATATGTATGGCCTGCAACAACCAAAGATATGGATGGAGGAACTGGACAAACCAAAAATATATATGTATGGCCTGCAACAACCAAAGATATGGATGGAGGAACTGGACTAGCCAAATATGTGGATAGAGTACAGGGAGATAGGGATGAGGTAAAAACACCGAATACTACATCAAACTCAACAAAAATAGAATTTAAAGAGCCCAAACCCCCGGTCTCTGCATCTGCTGAACTTGATCCTACTAACACAGTAATTATCAAGATTGAAACTGAAGAGACAGTTAATGAGGCTGACACATTACCTGTTGTGAACCTCATTTATAAAATTGAAACTGAAGATTCACAAGAAAATAGATTTAAAGATAAAATGTCCAAATCTGACTCAGAGTATTACAAAACTCTTGCAAAGACGGATATAGGATTAGGTCAGGTTCTAGAGAAAGGAAGAACTTTACTCTACTATCTGCTAAAAAATGTGAATAATGGAGATATCTTGGCGCTGAGTAAACTAAACTCAGCAATCGAGATTGAAGAGAATGAGGATGATCTAGATGATCCTGAGATCTTGATTGACCACTCCGGTCTAGTGGATGAGAGGTTCAACACAAACAACATTTTGAAAGATCTTCTGGATATACCGAGATCAAAAACAGTCAGAATTCTCAAGCACCCAGTCATGGAAACCTTTATAAAAACAAGATGGAGGAAAACCAAATGGATCTTCATTACAACTTTCCTACTTTACCTTACTTTTCTAATCCTCTTCTCAACCTTTCTTGGAATGATGTTCTTTCGAACCTCTCATCAAACCACGCATAAATTGGATGCTTTGAAGTTCCGACAACAGTGTCCAAACTTCCAATCGGAGAAAAAGAATCCTCTCTCTAAATTCCGACTCGCTCTTCCCGAGGGTCAGAAGGGAGCTCTTTACAACGTGGTAGAGAAGGTCATCTCCAGCAGGATTGGTTCCAGGAAAAGAGATCATCTTCGAACCTTCGACGGATGCAGGAATGCCGCGTTCCCTGATATACCTCTCTGCAGTGTTGAAATTATGTTAACCATTGTACTGATTGTATTAATGATAGAGGAGACCTGGGAATGTTTAGCTCTGGGTCTCCGCTACTTCACAGAGCTAGAGAGTTGGATCAAGATTCTAGTCTTCAGCTTTGCCGCAATATCCTTGTCTTATGAAACTGAAATTGAAATTTTAAAAATATTTTCCTCTTCAGGGATTTGTATGTCATGGTTAGAGCTAATATTTATGATTGGAAGATATCCGTTTCTAGGAGGCAGGTTCAGCATCATGTTTTATTCAATCTCGAAGAGAATTGTGCAGAGTGCGCTCGCCTTCTTTATCATGGTCGTCGCCTTCGGCTTCGCATTCTTTATTATCAACTTCGGAAGCGATAATGAGCAGTTTGAAAATCCTGGCAAGGCCTTGCTCAAGATATTTGTCATGGTTCTCGGAGAGTTTGAGTTTGATAATTTGTACGAGGGAACCTACTCCTCCGACTCTACTCTTATCTTCTCCATGCTCCTACTGATAGGACTGATGGTGGCGGGATCTGTGATCATGTTGAACCTGATTGTAGCGTTCATCATCACTGATGTATCCAACCTGATGCAGACATCCTGGGAGCAGGTTGTGATTAACCAGGTAAATATCTGTCATAACTGTTTAAAACCATTTTAAGTGAAAAGGTCAAAACTTCCTCGAAGTTGTCAAATATTTCTTTCCCCCTCCCCCGGAAAGGTTATGCTGAACTTTATCCTCCCCCAATCTAACCTAGGATGTAATAAACCGTAGAAATCATTCCTATTTCAGCCTTAATCTAATTTTAGGTAAATGTTCACTCGTAAAAAAAATCCCCGAGAAAAAAATACTTTTTGGAATTCGACGCTTTAGAAAATTGAGTTCTTTAAAACCGCCAACCGCTGCTAAATAAAAGACAACAAATCAATGGTACTTTTAACTATTGAAAAAAAATAATTTTCTTAAAAATCTGACAAAAATTTGAAGTTTCGATCCTTTAACTTAAATATTTGTTTATTAGCAAGTATTCATAATTATCAAGTTTTCTCTAACTTTGCTATAAATGACTTCCATTAAACAAATGACAGTCTTGCATTTCAGAACTAAAAGTTTAAGCATAAATTATTCTAAAACCATAAACTTTTACTTCATTATACAAGTAACAATTTATGTAAATATTTTTACGAGCGAGTAAAATTTACTATACTATACTATTAGAGTGCATCTTCTATTTCCACTTTAAATTGTGGCTCTATCTGTGAGCATCTTCTCTTTGTGAAATATAAAAAATACCAAAAAAAAAAGCGGATTTAATATTTTTTTTCGTGAATTTTCAAAATTTTACAAAAAACAAAAACTTTTGGACAAAATTTTTAGTAATTTGGAGCGTCCATAAACCTTCCCTAGGGTCATGTGAGGTCCCAAACGAAGGACCCGACCGGTTCATCCGTTTATTGGATACAAACAGACAGACAGACAAGCAAAGTATATATTTAGAATAGAATAGAATTCTTTTTAGTAGTTTTATCTGCGAGCATTTTTCGTCATAGATTTGATTATATGAACCTAAAAATGGTCACAGATTTTCCCATTTTTATGGTTAATTTATTTACAAACAAAACTTTAAAAAATATTTTTTTTTGAACGACATTCTTGAATTACAACCTTTCCTGAGACTTCCATTCAAAAGTTTAGTTTCGGGTCTAAATTCCTTAGTCTAAACTTTTACGTTCAAAATTAACTCTGACTTGGCGAGTTTTGCGGTTCTCTTATTTGAAGTCCAATTTAAATTCAGGGTAAAATAACTAAGATACATACATAATATAACAAATACAGTCCAATTTACAAGAAAAAAATAGTTATGCGAAAAAAAACTTGCTGCTTTTAAAGGAGGAAAATGGCACTGAAAACTCCGGTTCATTTCAAGAGTACAAAGCCGACTTTAATCAGCTAAAGCAAACTATATACTACAAATAAAGACTTTTTAAGGCACCACGACACAGTAGGCCAAATAAATAATCCCCTTCTCGTGAAAATTGTGTGATGGGGTTCATAGTAAATTGGCTTAATGAATTGAGCCAATGGCCTCCAATTTACCGTATCTATAAATGTCCGTGTTTGTATGTCTGATCTTAACTCATAAACCCCTTGATCGCTTTGCCTAAAATTTTTATTGGGGAACTCGCTAGTACCACGGAAATGTTCTTTGCCTAGTTTAAAAAATGGCACAGTTCTCCAGGCAAAGCTGGGTTCCTAAGCTAGTGTATGCATAATATACTAAAATTCCAAAATAATGCTTATTATCTGAATTCCTAGAATACACTGGTCAACTATTTAAAGGATTCTACCCAACTATTAAATTGCTACTCTACTCTCAAACTTGGATAAAACTACTTTAATTAAAAGTAAAGTTCAACTCTAAGCAAATCTTCGGCCCTCGCACAGAACTGTTTGAAAAACAAAGTATTTAACTCTTATAAGATACTAGCTGAAGGGCCCGGCGTTGCCCGGGGAAAAAATATTTAAAATTTCAGCCCAATCGTACCAGCCGTTTGGCCGGCTATACGCAACTATACATACGAATGTCTTGTTTTATTACAAGACATTATTTTGGGCGTAAAATATTAATTGTGGCAGCGATAGGAAAAATAGAATTTAGTCTCAAAAAGCAAGGACTTTGTAACAATGAGAGACCTTAAAAAACTAAATGAATGTCGTACCAAATCTTGTTTGATTAAAAATAAAATTTATGATTTCCATGAGTATTTTCTATTTCTAACATATCTCTGCAAAAATGGTCAAGTAAAAACTTTAATGTTGTGAATATCAGGATCAAACATTGATTTTAGCATATGCAAATCTACGCATTAATCAAATACCTCTTCAATACCCCAACAGGGATGACTTTTATTGAGAAAACAGCATTTATCGTGTCAAATTCAAAAGTGCACAATGCACATATTGGATATTGAGATCAAGCATTCAAGATTAACAGTATTCATACAAACGTTGAAATATCAAGTAATTGAAAACGAACAGGGGATACGATCAGTAAACATTTGTTAGTAAACAATGAAGCCCGGCCAATCCTACCTTATCCTGCCCAGAAAAATAGTAACCGCACATAGATCTAGACTGATATAAAAGTTTTTAAGCTTGGACTGATTTTGAAGTGTCACAACGCCTTGGTCTTTTTTTACCTTACAACTTGACTTTTACTTTTTTATAGCCCTGGACATGTGTATTTTAGAACTATAAAGCTTTTGTTGTTAGTTTTTTTTCTTGGAATTTTTTTTATAGATCTCTAAAAAAAAAAAAAAAACACTACACACATTGGTATTCAATAAATTACAACATTTGTATGCTACAGACAGAAGATTTGATTTTATGCCACAAACTCAAATTTTTAAATTCCTATATCTTTGCAACCTTTAATTTCAAATTTTCGGACTAATTAATCTAAAATTTAAAGTTTGAAATATCAGAGGTCTACAACATTGGGTTGCAAAGATTAGGGATTAGTAAATCAGAGTGTGTGTGGCAAAATCTAAATTTCTTTAATAAAGCTGTGACATCAGAATTTGTAAATATTTCTCTACTCTTGTTTAAATTCCTGGGCTGCTAAATATATATATATATATAACAAATATTTGTTTAAGGCTAATCATGCAATAAAGAGCGATGCATTAATTAAAATGGTTTCGAGGCTTATGATGAGATTACAGCCGGCACAGCAGAGGTAAATAAACAAAAATTGAAAACATAAAATTATCATTTTTTTAATGCCTTTCACACAGATTCAGACTGACATAAGAAATTAAATCAAATTATAAGACTGGGTCAACTTTAGAGTGTTGCAATGCCTTGGCTTTTGATTTTACCTCACGAACTCAATTTTACATTTTGTAACTAGAGACATGTACATACATTTTAGAACTAGAGACATGTACATTGTACATACATTTTAGAACTAGAGACATGTACAATGTACATACATTTTAGAACTAGAGACATGTACAATGTACATACATTTTGTAACTAAAGACTTGTNTCTTCCTCAGGAATCTACCTGGAGAATTGATAACTAGAATCTGTACTCACACCTGCTGTAACTGTAATCTGAAAAGATTGCATCCTTCAGTAACTTCCGCCATCATGGATATTATTAAACAAAGAAAAACGGTGAACTACAAATAAAGTGAAATACAACGACGACTAGGTTCATTTATCATTGTACGCCCAATACTCAATTCTTTTTTGTCATTTGAATTTATATGTTTATGGTATGAAAAAGTTATTTGTGTAAAATAAAGTTTGCCCGTAAATAATTGTTTAAAAAAAAGAAAAAAGGAAACTCAAAATTTAGAATCCAACAATATTTTGTATTAATTCAAAATTAACATTTGTGCAAAAAAAAATACTAAATTCCAGCCTCTAACACAGATTTATTCTTTTTATCATTGATCTCCAGGATAGATATTATTTTCTCAGATATATTTGTTGCTCCGTCCTCACAGTTCGACTGGATAACAACTTTTCCATTAAAGAAAACCGCAGCATGACCCTTCCAACCCTTTTCTTGGAATTTAAACCTGACGCAGTTCAAATCCACTTCAGGTTCATATCTTGCATCTTGATAGTTCTGGCACAGTTTCTGCAGGTTCACGATCAAATCCAGCCTAAGATTAAATATCACATTTCGGATTCGAATTTTCGCCAAGGAAACTCCTCTGCAACGATCATCGTACTTTTGTATCATTCTTACAACTTGTCTCAGACGTTTCCGGGCTATTTCAACAGATTTGGCTCCGAAGATAACAAGTTTCCCGTGTTTAAAAATATTAATTGTTTCGCTTTTGATCCAAACCGTGAAAGGGTTTGCACGGGATGAATTTGATGAGACTGGTAAAACGTGGTGAAGATATTCAAGATCTAACTCAGTTTCAAGATTTCTCAGTTCTACATCAGCAGTTACTCCACATATCTGGTTCAAGGGCAAATATTTTATATTTAAACATATTTTTTAAAAAAGCATGATGCATATTCTACTGCCAAGGATTCGGAACCAGATTTTAAATACTATATCAGTCATCTTTTCGAATTATGTCTTACATTATTTATTATCTATAGGATGTGAATGCATCATGGGATCTTTATCTCAATATTTGTAACATTTGATTAATTTTTATAAGTGATTTGATCTATATTGAGTCATATCAACAAAAATGTCAATTGTCAAAGTTTTGAAAGATCCTTCTGGTACAATATATGTTTTGAGAACAAGTTGACAAGACCATGGTTGGGAACTTTTGTGTAGTGAATATCGAGATCAAATCTTAATCCCTGTCTTTTGTTAATCTACAGATTAATTTAATCTTTATTTGATATCAGGTTGAAAACGAACAGATAATCATCAGAAGCAAGGGAATTGTTGACAAATGAGATAACAATCATGAGATAAACCAGAATCTGCGTCAAACTTCAACATAAGTTCCCAGCTCAGCTGATTTTTGAAAAATAAATGGAATATTACTATTTGCTTACAAAGCACACTCAAAACAAACTGCAGGTATTTTAGGGTTAAATCAATTAGACTCTAAGAACAAAATTTTATTATTTTTTTTAAAGAAAATATATAAAATAAATACCCCTGACTTTGGTTCTTTACGCTCGGTCTGTTTGGCTTTACGCACTCCTAATAATAATAAAATATTTTATGAAAAAACATACATACAAATACTATACAACGCCACTAAAAGCACATATTCAAAACAGAAAAGAGTTTTAGGTCGTCATTGAATTATCATCCTTTGAGAGTAACCCTGTATATGTAATGTTGTGAGTTTTCAAAAAGAAAAACAAGAAAAACATTGTAAACATTGTAACCCCCCCCCCCTTAACTTTGAAATTGAGATAGGGGAGTGGGATACACCATTACATGTCCTAGTCCAACTTTTCTAGGCAAGCTAATCACGACCATAATCACGCAAATTTACGATATGTGATCCGAAAAAATAATCAGGAGGATATACCAACGTTGAGACGGACAAGGCAAACATATATTTTTGGTTATATTTTAAAGATAATTTGAACAAAAACTCAACCTTTCATTTTCCTTTTCGTATGATGCTTTAAAATCATACTAAGATAAAATCGAAAGTGCGTTTAGTTGTTCTGTTCTGTACCCTCTTAACGTTGCAACTTTAGATACTAGGGAGATAAATCTAAACTAAAAAAATATGTGATAAAAAAGGCTTCAATGAACCGGACTTTCTGTGTTCTTAATTTTCTTGTACAACATAAATAATTTTAAAACAACTTTTCATAAACATGGAAACTTAGTTGTCATCTTTAGTCCCAAGTATAATCCACGGATTAAAATAAGTTTCTTAAAAACGAGTAAAAGTATTTTTGGTCAAAGTCAGATACATGGTTGCCGGATAAACAAGCAGATAAGTGACAACTCTTCTACTTTTTTCTACACAACATTTGTCCGCGATCTTATGTTTTAATTAATCTAGTCCAAACATTGATGACAATTGACTGTACTCCCAGGGGAAGATCCTTTTTTCCAATGGGGAATTGAGTTAATATGCGAAATTTTTTATCCCCCCCGCACTGAAAAAAAAGGTAATACTCGAAAGTACATTAAACAATTTTTTACATTTACTGGATTAACCACAAAGGATGATGACTCAAAGACGATTAATCTTATTTTTTGAAATGCAGGCTTAAACTTCTTTTCATGTGACACATAGTTCAGAAGCGATCACCAGATACAGAAACTACATATCGCGGTGTTTAATGAGTTCAAGGTCGTCATTAGGTCTCAATCAGTAGTGGGTATATTTTGAAAATAAGTCAAAAGCACCCATTCTTTTCTTTAAGAGATCGTGATAATTCGGGGGAAATTATGAGCCAACATTATATAATTCTTAAGCATCCGATTTAGACGCTTTGTCTTATCTAAAGTCTTTAAAAATCAATTAAATCTTTCGATTACATACTGAAAAATGTCGAAAAAATCCGTATAAAATTAAATGAAACCTTGGCATTCTTGGTAAAAAATATTTAACACGGCAAAAAATCAATTTTTGATGTTAAATTATCTTCAAGAAGCAAGGAAATTTCCCATCTCTGCAAATACCTTTTGAGCGAGCCGCCACTGAGCCTTTCTTCATTTTTAAAATTTCGTCTATTTTCTAGAATTAAAATAAAAATGTTCAGTCATAACTTACAAATGTAAAGACACAATAAAGTTAAATTTCCATCAGATAACTAATGGATAAGATGGTGGATGATAAAACATAAATAAAATAAAAAGTTCCCAATACAGCCATGTGTATTTTATCAATTTAATCACAGATATTATATCACAAGAAGTTTGTAGATCACAATTCATTTATCATTTTATCTTTATCTCAATCTCAGTAGGTTTTTACATTGTACATTGTACATTGTACATTCTATACATTCAGCAAGATCTTGCTGAATGTATAGAATTATACTTTAAAGTAGGATTGTTTATCCAGTAGTATAATGTGTACTGCGACGTGTTTATACAGCCAATGAACTGGTTTTTATGTAAACAAAAACAAATATATCATAACAGCCATACTATAAGTATACTACCTCAGTCGCGAGCTGTAATCGTAAATGTAGTTGTAGAATTTAAACCACCGCAACTTTAATAAGTCGAAGTTGAGATGTACTGTATTGTGATTGGGACGGTTGGCTAGCCCCAAGTTCTCCTCAAACAAAATTGTATCTAAATAGCGACAAGCCCACACAAAATATTCTATACAAGGACCTTAGTCAAACTTATTACAGCTCCTTCAAATGTCATTTGTAGCATTGTAGCGATCTTTGATTATTAATTAATTAATAAATAATTACGCATTAATATTCAAGTTCCGAATAATCGTACGAGTTTGATTCCAGCCGTCGCGTAGGATTAGAAACTCATTTTCCGTTCCTTTCTCGTCAAACCTCGTCTTCATTCTCTGCATCCTGCGTGTACTCAACCTCAGACACAGATACAACAGGTTCATCCCAGACAGGATTATATAAGAACTGATCTTCTTTTGTTGTATTTATCTGCACCTGAACCTTGCTTCCTTCAACAACAATCAACAGAACCTAAAATAATAAAGAATAAAATAACGTTTGAGACATCACAAGAGTAACTTTTTCCTTCTTCAAACCTCAATCCTAAAGCAGCTACATTTGTTTTAACATATTGATGAAAGAAATGCATGAAATAATTTGTACAACAAAGTGATCAGCGGTACGTTATGTTCCCAGTCTAGTCGGTACATACAGGGTTACCCACAAATGATGAGACTGTAAAGACGACCGAAAACTTTTAAAATGTGACAATATCCAGGTTAAATTAAGTATTTTGAATTAGATATAGTAATCTAATGGCTTTTTTAATGATTTGCCAAAGGAAGAAACAAGTTTGCAGTTGCAGGTTATCGTGAATATAAGGAAACAGACAATATAAATTCTGAACAATCGTCTTTGAAGTCTCATCCTTTGTGGGTAACCCTATAGCTAGCAGTTACCATAACTGTCTAGGGGTACATAACATTTCAAAACGGTACGTTGGTTTGTAGGTACAGTAAAGTTGGTTAGTCGGTACAGTAAAGTTGGTTAGTCGGTACAGTAAAGTTGGTTAGTCGGTACAGTAAAGTTGGTTAGTCGGTACAGTAAAGTTGGTTAGTCGGTACAGTAAAGTTGGTTAGTCGGTACAGTAAAGTTGGTTAGTCGGTACAGTAAAGTTGGTCAGTCAGTGCGATAAAGTTACGTCAGTGGGTGCGATAAAGTAAGTGATTAAGCCGGGAGGAATATTAAGAAGAATGTGGTTACTAAGGATATATAAAATATTTAATCCTTTTGATTATTCTTGAGAATGTTTAAACTGTCCTTAGAATAATCTCAATACTGAGTTTATATATAAACCATTAAGATATTTTCAATGCATCTGAAACCAGGCCTTAGCTTTATCATGTTTACCCATCAAATAAAATATTACAGTCGTACCATATACCAAATATAAAAGGACATATATAAAGAAATATTTAGGAAATTATGTATTTCTTACTTTTCCCCAGGCCGCTAGGAAAGCCTCTCCAAGACTTCGTTTTGCAGTTTTTGTTATAATATCAATATAGCTATCACCTTCTTCTTCTGTAATAAATAAAGAAATAAAATTATTAAGTTTTAAGAGACTGTCTACGAACATTAAAGTTTCAGTTTGCTGAACATTGGGATTTAAGCGTAAATTTCTTGAAGTAACAGATTTTTACCTGAACTATATTATATTACTATATTATAAACTATAGTATGAGGATGTTTTCTTACCCGAAGCTAGAGGTTGTTCACATAACCCTGCTCCTTCACAGCTCACACTATCTCGAGGGAACTCAAGACTAACAACTAAACATTAGAATTAATTTAAACTAGATTTCAACGCGGTTTGGAATATTCCAGATCCATATACAATAAATTCAGAATGAAAAATGTAGCGAAACCATAGGTCTACAGTGAAACCCATAAAACTGTGGAATAGGAAGACGACACTTGAGCAATATTATGAGTAATTGATGCTGCTGTGAGGTAAACCATTTTACCAGTTGTTTAAAAACCGACCTATTCAGTGAAATGGTTCTACACTACACAATTGTTGTATATTATGTTCTTTGGACTATCTAAAGTCATAACAGTCGTCTTTTTATTCCAAAATGTAATGGGTCTCACTATATGTGAGTTCTGATGGCGCTAAATGAAAATGAAAAATAATTGATAGAAAAATGCTAGGAAATGAAATATGGTATGATTGATATTATCTTTTCTTCGGGACAAATCCTGGATACGGAACTACATCCAAATAAAATATATTTTCAAGGAATTTCTTATCTTTTTGACCTTTCTCTAAGGGGGGGAGGGGCACGTGGGAAAAACACGAATGATGTTCCAAAGCAAGGGCCTTAATGATCGAAACTATGTGTGAAACTTAAAAAAATTATATTTTTTTCCAGAAGAAAAACGAACAGGAATTCAATCCATTTTTGATGTTGTCTAATTGTTAATTAAGATCATCTTAAGGCGGTTAGATAGGCTTAGCATGGATTCTATCCCTATCAGCACTGGAGGGTTTAATATACTCCGAATACCTGACACGTATTTAACCATCAGTGGATCAGATTCTTCCTTCCTGTGATATAGAACCTTACTTCGCCACCCACTAGAATATACATGTATAGAACCTTACTCCGCCATCCACTAGAATATACATGTATAGAACCTTACTCCGCCATCCACTAGAATATACATGTATAGAACCTTACTCCGCCATCCACTAGAATATACATGTACTGAACCTTACTCCGGCATCCACTAGAAGTAGAATAGACATATATAGAACCTAAGTCCGGCATCCACTAGAAGTAGAATATACAATATACATGTATTGATTAGAACCTTACTCCTCCACCCACTAGAATTTATTGAACCCTCCAATAAAAATGGGATTTAAGTGACGACTTTGATATTTTCTAGTAAGCATTTTCTTCATTAGCATAATAATTGTAGTATTCCAGTTGACCCATCTTAAACTGATACCCTTGGGATTTCCAAAATGTGTGTTACAAAAATCAACACAGATTGTTGGAGTTTTGACCAGATGTCAATTAATTTAATAAATTTATATTTGTTTCAATTTACATTTAAACTATACAAGAAAGCTACACCCCATTTGGGAAAGCTCATAAAACGTACGACCATTGTTAAATACACTTTTAAGCAATTATAATAATTCAAAATCAAAGACGATCTCAATGTCGTCTCTAAATTCCCATGTTTACTGGGACACTCTGTATATTTTTACATAGAAACTGTTATATGTTTTAAAGTATAATATTCCACAAACCTGAATCCTAAGTAGAAGTTGGCCAACTCTTCACATTTATATCGTGATAAAGGAACATTAGGAAACCCTGATCTTGACAACCCTGTCACACGGACTGGTCCAGAATCCTTTATTGCGATCTCTCCTCTGAGTGCAGCAGCTCTAGCTCTACTCGCAGCGCGGGCTGAGTAGTATCTGATGTATGTGTAGTATTCGGAATCTACATTCTTAACACTCACCTCAACGGGATTGTTTAGATTATTAAACAGATGAAGGTGCTTACAATAATTATGATAATGTATCTTATGATTTCATTTTTAAATTAAAAAATGTAAAATCATATAGTTATTTTTAGAAAAACCTACCCCTTCAAACGAAAATATATTATTTACTTTGCACGCATGCACCCTTGTTTCAACTTTCCAAGAGCGTCTAATCCTATCAGAGCTTACTCACGTGCTTTGTGAATATTCAGAACCAATAAAGATTGCAACGGGGGCAGAATCTATCTATCTATCTGATTCAAATCCAATAAGAGATCCACATGTAAACTAGCGGAAAAGACTTCCCGGACTAAAAGTGTTTGGTGTCCCGGCTCAAACCCACCCAGTGGCCGAATTTAAAGAATTTGAGCGGCGGTTTAAATTTAAGCCGCGGTTTAAATATGGTTGGTTCCACTTAAAATTGTATCAAATGTATCAAGATTTTAGCCGGCGCTTAATTCAAACCGGGTTTTGGCGGATTTAAACCGCGGTTCAAATTCTTTAAATTCCATCTCTGGACAAGTAAGTGGGGTTTAAAAAGTTTTAAGTAATTGAGTTGGAAGGGTCTCCATGTTGAACCAAGATAACATCTCAATATTGAACAACTAGGGTTGACATCTTTAATAAGAAATAAAATTACATCAGTCACAAACTAGAGAATCAAAGGAACAGAGATAAATAACAACTTTGAAGTAAGAAAAGCTCCCCCTACATGGCCGCGATCGTGGATTTACAATATTTGAATTTTGTGTTTACACATTTATTTAATATTAATAATTGAAAACTTGATGGGACCGTATTCGTAATTTCAACGGTTCACTCAGCAGCTATGTCGGATCAAGAATAAATTAGATATAAATTTATTCTCTTAAATTTGATTATTTTCAATTGTGGTTTCTCTGCAGTATTTCTTACTACAGAAACAATAAAGGCAAACCTTTTAACCCCCCCTAGTAGGTTATTCCCAAGAAGTTTTCATGAAAATAAATAAGGCACGAAAAATCTATCAATAATTGTGAAGACCAGAAAGAAAAGTTTTCTGTATTTGATCCTCTTGGTTTGATGTGAGTGTTGAACTTCAATAACTCGGAAGTGTGTGGAAACTTTATTCTTCCTCAGGAATAGTTTTTAGTGGATCAGTACTAGCCATGTATACTATACTGTACAGTTCAAATTTTATTCAAAAGTATATCTATATATATATATATACTTTGCTTGTCTGTCTGTCCGTTTGTATCCAATAAACGTCAAAACTGCTGAACGATCGAGCCCAAATTTTGTGTGGACCTTGACCCAAGGATGCTCAAAATTACAAAAATTTGTCTCCAAAAGTTTTTGATTTTAGTAAAATTTGGAAAGGCGCAAAAAATATTATTAAATCCGCGAACTTCTTGCTTTTGATTTACAGGGCGTCCCATGTCATATTGGATTATCTCCAAGCTTTAACGTCAAAATACGCACATAATATTAAAAAAACGGTATTTCCTGCAAGAAATTTTTTATATAAGCCTTATACATCTATTACAATTTTCTAATTAGTCTCCAAAATCTTAATTAAGAGCTATATGATGTGCGTCATAAAAGCCTAGCATTTTAAAATAACATTTATTTTCTAGTCTGTACAGTGTACAGTTACACAAAACAATCGACAGATTTATTCTTTTTCTTCTTCGATACTTAAAAATACTTTGTTTATTTCTCACGACTCCGACCGAAGTATTATAAAAAAAATGCTGGCAATGATAAATCAGGAAGGTGTGGCTCCCTGGCTAAGGATGAGAAAATATCAATAAAAAATTTTAATTCTGCATTTCACAAACTTTTTTCATAATTTGTTTACAGAGAAAATAATTAATTTTTAGACCGGGCCTAGTTAATTCATAATTATTGATTAATTGTGGGATTATTTATAATAATCATATCAATTGTGGGCTTGTTACTAATTTTAGTCATAGTTCCAAATAAGTGGATTTAAAACATAAATATCCGATATCACCCTGATTACAAACCTGATAAAGTAACCCGAACTTAGAGAAGGTTTGATGGAGGGTTGAATATAGCTCCGGTTGGGTTAAAGAGCTGGTGATCCCAGGTATATAGATGAGCGTGGAAGGACTATTTGGAATATACATCTCTATAATTTCAACGTCAACCATTTTAAAATCAAAGAATCTGAAATTGAGCTGAAAATGGAAAAAAAGTTAAAGTTTATTTACAAAACGGGAAACATCTAAATTTTTTTTAATATGGTCTAAAATAGACGATTACATCATTCAATATTAGTTTATGAACCTACATTTTCATATTTATGTACGCGTATGCATATTTATATAATTTATGTGTACAGTTATACGCATTACGCATATGCTTTACATACAGTACAATACATCTTCGACACTTTAAGCAAGAATCAAAGGTAGAGATCACATTTTTACACAGAACCATACAATAGGAGAGGGAATTAGAATACAGAAGTTGTGACAAATTTTTAATTACAGGTTCATTTACTCACTATAGAAGAATAAAGCTCTCAAGTAATGGATATGGGGGCCGGGGAGTTGGAAGAACAGGCATCTTCCAATTGAACGAGACAAAAAAAAAATGCAGCGAATGTATTGATGGGTAAATTTTTGGGGAATTTTGATAGGTTTCCATTCAATCATAGTTTTATCATTAGACATTGATTGTGTTTATTTCAAGCCTTGTAGAATGTAAAATATGGTATAAAGGGAATCAAAAATATTTATACGACACATGCAACTGTTTTGGGAGCATATTCAGATTTAAAAACGATATTTTACAATGATGATGGGATGCGGTCTGGTTATCCTTTCACAATCAATCATATTTTCTTAACAGTTTTTCTACAACGGGCCGTACTAAATTAAATATGTCGTCTTTAAATTTGACTTTGCTCTATAAGAACAGTATTGAATTGATACAACTATATGACCAGAGGTATACTGATCATTGATCTTCAACTCCGACTCTGAAATCAGACCCAGAGGAATTAAACAACATGTGTTCAGAGTTAACCCCAGAGATCCTCAGTTCTCCCGAACTTGTAGACTAGAGAGGAGAGAAAAATGAAGAGGTTCTGCAGAAAGAACGCAACCCCAGGATAGATAGTGGTCGGATTAAACTCCTTCCTTGATGCCTCGTTCTCCATGACGTACTCACCGAATAGGATCCAACAGGAGCCCAAAAGAGATCTAGAAAGACATTAATATTTTTTTTGCAAAAAAATGAAATCAAGTAATCTTTTAGGAAATTACGAATTTTCCGTAAATCCAAACTTTAGTTCTGAAAGATTGATTTATCGGAGAACAAGCTTAACAAATTACGCTCATTAGAAAGTACACTTTGCACATAGGTAACATAACAGTTAAAAAAGCGTGTTATTTATAAAATATAATGGATTTTACTCGTCTTAGGCCGTTGAATACTTGGTTCACCGGCATAAAGTAAAACACGACCCAGGGTCAACTGACAAACGGGAAGAATGACATATGATAGGTTAGGTTAGAAAGAATTTTGATTCTAGCGCTGGGACCAAGACAAGCTAGGGGAACGAGCATTGCGGTCAAAAATTTCGGCCGAACGCCGTTGCTCGGACTTTTGGCCCTATGTCGTTTAATCCTCAGATGTGTTTTTGACCGTTTGTCGTTTGGCCTGTTTGTCGTTCTACCCCTTGGCTATTAAAGCTTATGGAAGTAAATAGAATACTTGAATCAAGCGAACACTTACTTACCCGAACCCCATGAGGAATGCGAAGAAGAACCACATTTTAGGAGCAATTCCTCCCCCACACACACCATCAGTCAAACCTTCGCCTCGTAGTTGATCATTACTCACAGTGTTCACCATAAACATGGAGAGAGCACTGAACACTCCGCACAGATGGAACACATCTCTGGTGTTCTGGTAGTCTGAGGAGGACGCATCTATAGCAAACCACCACCCGGAGAAGAAGAGAAACCCGGAGACAATTGATGCAATTTTGTTCCGTTTATCACTAAGCTCGATATTGTGACAACTCTCACAAGGCATGGCTTCGAGAATCGCCGCCATTTTTTCTGAAATAATCAACAATGTGTAAATAAGAGATATAAATGTTTAGCACAGCCCTGAGTAGTGGGAGAGAGTAGAGATGGATTCAATCTCACGTTTCAGTACGTATCATCATAAGCAGCCTCAGCAGTGTAACTCAAACCTCGATCCTTGAATGCTTTTGCTCTGAAAAAAAATGTCAGAACAAACTTAATTTTAAAAATTCGAACAGATGTTGTTTAAAATACCTTAATCTTTCTGTTTCTTCTTTTTCTGCTTGTTGAACTGCTTGTTTCTCCAGGATCTCCTTGAGACTGACCTGCTTAAGTTTCCCCTTCAACTCCTCCTTCTCCTCAATCTCCCCTAGCAGAACTACGTTCTCTCCCCGCACAACGAAAACTCCAAGGGGAATGTCACCGTATTCATCTTTTACATGTATTCTAAATGTAACATAAAATAGGTTTCATTAAACGTAAAGTTTCAATATTTATATTTTAAAAGGGGGGGTGGGGGTGATATTATTTACTGTAATCGCATCCTCCGAAACTTTTGAAATTCCAACCCTGACCCATTGGTTTGATTTTTCCTCCTCTTACCTTTCTATGCAATTGTGTATAACAAGGTTAGCAAACTGGTCCACAGACCGTAAATATCCAATCAAAGTTCTAAAAATATTACAGATTAAAGGGACTGTCGACGTAGTTGACCCCGTCCATAAAGTTACATGCATGATTCACACCATTACCCTTTTACACTTTTAACTTAGAAACAATGAGAAAGATATCGTTGTTCTTCTTTCCGAAGCAGTAACAAATTCAGGCAATTGCCTTTTTTGTCTTTGCTGCGTAAATCTGCAGGTCACTTGTAAAGAATATCGTTTTCTAGATCGACGAAAAATAATCAGACAAAGGTTTAAAGAGTGATGTTATTTTTAGAGTCAGTCGACGGTCCCTGTCCCATTAAAGTCTCTGATATTTTTTTCTGTCCAGGAATTTTAATGATTATATTGTTTATGATAAAATGTCTACAAGACCAGTTACGATATATTCAGCTGTTTATTTATAAAATTTATCAATTCTCTTGAACAATCAACTTTTTAATAGTAGAAAGTGTTATAAAAAATTAAACTAACAATTTTTTACTTGACTATGTAAAGTATTACAAGAACCCGAAAAAGAAATACTCCAACTATGTTTTCCAATTTCCCAATATTTTAATTTCAAACTATTCCTGACTTGGAAATTCTTTAACTTTTCCTAAATTAAATAAGTGAATTCAAAATAAATTTGTCGCTGCTTCAATTCTTTAAAATTATTTGAAATATCTGGAACAGGGATTTTAGTATTTTGATCTATTGTGTTGTTTTTCTGATTTTCTTCATTTACAGAGTGTCATTGAATTCACAATAAAAACCCTTTAAAAATTTGAAAAATAACCATTAACCAACGATGATAAGATAGGAATAACTTTCATGAAGAAGGTCTAGAAAAAGACATAGTAAAATAGGCCTAGAGAAAAGGTTTTTTTGAAATGATTATTTTTCAAGAAAATGCATAAACCTACGGCCTACCTCCACGTTTTGTAAAATTATTATATAACTGGAAGAGTCTGTAGGATATTTAAGATTTAAATCTATATGAATTACGTTCTAACATTTACAGGGTGATACATTCAACTTAAATAGCGGATAGATTTGGTTGGCCTTTCACAAGTGAATCACCCAAAAACTATCCAGCTGTAAATATATTCAGTTCACCTTCCATCCCGGAGCAGGACCATTAGCTTCTTATCCAGTTCCTCTAGTAGGGTTGCAGTTCCAGGCAGGCAGGATAATGACATAGTTACATAGAATTATCCAGGTCTATCTGAAAATGCGTAGATTTGAATCTTATGGTACTCTCATTACCATACTGGACACTTCTTGTTGAATCAACCAATACTTTCAAGTGAAACATATTATAATTCTTATTCACTTAAACATAGGTTTAAAATTTCACGTTCTGGTTATTTTTAAATAATTTAATATTTTTTTAGGGCTTTTTTAATGACGGCCAGTCTTTGTCTGTGGGCCTCAGAGGATGCGGCCCGTTTGTAAGGTCTAAGCTCCTGAGCTCCGAACCCTGGAATCCAGAGGTTCCAACTTCTTTCCAGAACCATCTGTACGTCCCTCACGTCTATAGTGTTGGCCTTTCTATGCTTGGCCAGTGCGCAGGCCTGAGTAACCGTCTGTTCAATAAAATCATCCGCAATCTGTAGAAGAACCTCTTCAACATCCTCGTCCAGCTGCTCAGACGGGTCAACTTCTTTCACCAGCTCTCCTAGCCTGAAACAAACATTATCAAGTTTACATATTCTAAATATCCCGGAATATCATAAATTGATTGATAACTTCAAAGTCGTCTTTGAGTTTAGAATTGGCACGCGGCAGTCATTATAGGTGACTAAGCTTTTAAATTGCTGACTCCGAAATCAGAAACTATACTATCAACCTATAGAACTGGTCTCACCTGTTTCTATCCAATACTTGAGATTCTGAAGAGAGCTGTGGAGTACTGGTTGGTGAGCTCATGGGTTGGGAGGAGTTAGATATTGTTGTAGTTGTGGCTGTTGTTGCTCCGGAGCTGATCCCTCCAGCTGGTAGTCCGGGACCAGACCCAGAGGGATATATAGTAGTCTGTCCCTGAACGGACATTTTACATTCTGAAACAATTAATGCAATTTTAGATTGTTAAAGGGGGTATTGTTGAATTAAGGTTAACACGACCAATGAGTTGATATATGTTATATTTATAAGAATTCAATTTTTCAAGAATCAGAAAGAGACCAGATGCTTAACATTGGCAGGCTATTTCAACCCCCCCCCCCTTTATACAACAAAGCAATCACAGACATAATTCCAAATTAACAGATAAAAACAATAAATGATCAAAAGAATGAATCAACGAAAATTGTGACTTCAAAAATAATAAAACAAAATGGTGGTTTCTTAATAGTATGAATATTACGAGCGTAAATATCTTCGTGTTTACTATTTCAACTGTAGAATATATTTCTTCCCGTCCTTCTCTTTCTCAGTCACAGAATATCCTTCCTTTAGGAAGAAATCCCGTTTAACTGATGCGAATAGAAGATCTGTGATCAGGAATATCTGGGCTGTGGAGAAGAATAGGTTGATGGCAAAGTAGTAGTTTGCATTAGCTGAATTGTTGTATATCCAGAGCTGCCAGAGTATCGGAGCTAGGATAGTGGTTGCCAACATGATACCAGCGATCAGAAACGTCTAAAGGAATATATAATATATGTTACCAAAAGGTAATTCAAGGTAAGTTAAATATAAACAAGCTATTAAAAAGTTTTCTATGCCTACTGTATTATCTGATTGGTTTAAAGGGATTGTATAGTCGTAATTTCGAGTGACCACCTTTTTTAAAAAAAAGAGTGACATGTCCAATTCACAACGGTACCCTTTCCTCTAAATGAGTTTTAATTAGGAGAATATCGTCATTTTTCTATCCTGAAAATCCAAATCTGACAATTTCCTTAATTGTCCCGGCGAAATAAATCCGCAAAACACTTGAAAAGAGAAACCACATTAAAATTTTTTTAATTTGTAGCAATGCAAATAAGAATATGTCCTTTCTTTTAGATCCGACAAAGGTTTAAAGGGTACTCTTGTACATTGGTCATGCCAATTTGAAAAATAAATTAAATTTACGTCTGCAGCCCCTTTAAGTATATATATTTAACAACTAATATTAAAAAAAAATTTTAAAAAATGCGCGTTGCAGGAAACTTTGCAAAGAACACTTTTGACTTCAGACGAAACTACCCTCCCCCCCCCCACACAAAACCGGTAGAAAATGTATTTCGTGAATTATTGTAAATTTATCTATTTAAAACTTTGCTCCACCTGTTTGAGAAAAGGTAGAAGATGTGAGAAGAGGGGGAGAAGAGCGAGGAAGAATCCTACATCTCCTAGTCCTGGGTAGGATTTTAGTACTGCAGTTAATCCCACCAGGGTTACAGAGAGAAGGAGAGGGGTTCTCCAGAACCTACATTAGAAAACCATCAAATGGTAAAATAATAAAATTCATGAAAATCTAATAAAACCTTAATAGAATTTCTAGGAAATTTGAAATGTCATTAGCCTTCCTCGTACATACTAATGAACGTTTAAAAACTATCGTACTGCAGTTGATCGGTGTACTGTTTTTGTTTCGATTCGATAGTTCCATTAAAGGGACTATAAGCGAAATTGTAAGTGAAACCTAGGGTTCATTTAAAGATGAAAATGGCCAATTTTAATAGTACCCTTAAAAGCGTAATCTGATCAAAATTGCGGAAGATACTATCGTTTTCAGCTGACTCGAAAAGTGTTTATTGCGTTGAGTTTCTCCATTGCTATAAAAAGCAAGAAATGCGCAAGTAACTTTCGCAGAGAAACCGCAAATGAACATATACAGTTTAAAGAAACAAAAACATTAATATATAATTCATACTTGATCAGACAAAGCATTTAAGGGTACCGTTGTAAATCGGACATTGTCATCTTTGCATGGAGTTACTTACAAAATACGCTTACAGTTCTTTTAAGGAACAACTATAAAAACGACACAATAACAATCTCACAAATTCTAGAAAAAACAAACATATTTCTGACAAACTGTACTGTACAGTGAAGTAATAGTGTACAGAGAGCGCTGGTCACAGATTTTAAGAGCCGTTGCAACAACTTCCATCAAATATTTTTTAAAGAACTTAAGAAACGAAATAAAATGAGTGCAAATTATCGCACACGACATTATATTTTGCCATGTCCAATTTAAAATTATCGATCATTCCCTTTAATTAAACTGAAAATCAGGATTAAAGGATGAGAATTCAAAGACGACTTTACTGATTTAATACTGTCAGTTTAATTATATTCATGGTTCCTTACGGTTGTAAACTTGTTTCTTTCTTTGAAAAATCATTGAATAAACCATTGAAATACCATATCCCAGACAGAAAACTTACTTTAACCTTCAACTCGTCATATCTTAAAAGTTTCAAGTCGTTTTTACATCATCATATAAGGGTAACCCTGTGTATAATAAATCTAACTATCTCTACCTGAGTGATAAAGGTATACAGTACATGAAGAGGTTCAGCTGAAATGTTGCCAGGAAAAATACTCGAAAATGTTCGAACATCTCTGTGAAGAAATACCTGGAAAAAAGGAAAATAAGGAACGAAGACAGATTTCGGCGAAATCTTAGAAAACGCCGCCTGGACCCTCCTCCCCTGATTTGACAAAAAAAGCAGCTTCAGTGACTATTTATCTTAACCTAACTAAATAAATTCAGTTCTTAGATAAAAGAAACCTTAGATATGTCAAGTGTTTTTGTCGTTATTTCATTTATTATATTGTCGAAATTATTACGTAAAAATTTTACTTTAAAGAAGATTTTATATCTCTAGAGTTGATTAATATGTATCTTATCATCTAGGTTTACTTTAGGGGTTGTATTTAGAAAATGTAAAAAAAAAAATATTAAAAACTGCCAAATAAGTTATATTTACCAAAAAATCCCCATGTTCGGTGTGAGCTCTGGAACGGAGAGAATAAATCCATAAGTTGAATCTAGAAACTTCCAGGATCCAGACAGTTGAGCGGAGAGAAAGAGAAGGAAACCAGAGAAGAAAATAAAACAAGAAACTGTTTTAAATACAGACTTGAATCCTCTCCAGTCCAACCCTCCATCTAATAATTAATGTTATTATTGGATTCTAATATAATTAGAAAATGTATGTCTTATCAACTTAATTTACAAAATATGAAAAGAATGCCATCAATAATTCACAATGATACCTTTTTATAGGCAAAGGATTGGACAATTTATGTATTAAACCATATTAATCATAGACTGGCTTTCTTTACGTTGACAATTCCTTATTTTTTTTACCTTCACATCTAGCTATCTGAATGGAGAGGGGAAAGATGAGGATTATTGGATAGAATCCCTGGTATGCAGCTAGGCTCAGAGCCAGTGTTCCCAGTATCCTAGAGCTCTGAACCTGGCCAAGGAGAACCAGGGATACAAGCAGATTATTCCAAACCGTTGTAGTCTTAGCGGAGCAATTGAGCAGAAGGTAGGGGTTGAGCAGATAGAAGATTGAGAGAGATTTAGGTAATGTATTCAGGAGGTTACTGGAGATCAGTATCGAACCCGCCTCAGGATGGACTTCGTTCTTGTCTCTCTTCTGGTCGGAAAGAAGCGTTTTAGCGAATTCATCTCCGATCTTTCCAAGAATAAGACAGGTGAGAAGGTCGAGAAGTATAAAGGACAGGGTTGAGTAATCTACGAGGATAGGCTCCAGTAGAATATACAAACGAAGAAGGAGAGGAGACTCGTGGAATACAACGCCATCATACGGAGATAATCCTACAAAAAAAGGAAAAATGGTTTTGTTAAATGCCAAAATAAAGGTTTTTTCGCTAAACCCCATCTTAAAGATGCCAAACCCCATGTCATATCAGGGAATGTAAAATGCAAGAAATGATATAGAAACTCCTATATCTTTGTTGGCAAAATAAGTGTACCGAAGTTTCAGGGATTTATATTTACAAAGCTTAGCCTTGTGTTAGCTTACATTCCTCCCAGAAACTTTATTCGTAAACATACTAAGGGAGTTTCATTTATTTTTTGGGGGTCACATAAATAAATCTATAAACGCTGTGGAGTATACACTATATACATATATTTATTCCAGGGGTATTTCATTTTAAGAATTAACCGCCACCCAACCCAGCAAGTTTTTCCATCCTTTTTTGATACTTTTTACCAAAAATTTATTTACTTTCCTCAATTTAGCAAAATTTCGAAGTTTTCAGGGAAAACACATGTTTAAACATAAATAACATTTTAAAAAAGATCTATTTATTTTACTCAAATTCACTATTATATCAAACAAAAACACATCTTCACCAATTTATAAAAAAAACGTCTTCACCTTGTTTTTGAAGATAAATTCCTTCCACTAATCTTCTCCAGGAGTTTGTAGGATTCGATAGCTCCGGTCTGTTCTCCAGGTAGGTGTTCCCTGACACAGCAAACCTAGTTTAAAGATATTTTACTAAAAATTAAAACTACATTTTACAAATGTGCATGAAGTTTCTAAACCTGGAATATCAAACAATAAATGAATTTAATAAAGAAGATATTTAGTTATATTTTTCCGAAGAAAAAAAGATCAAAACAAGGTTTTCATGTAGATTCCTGGTTTCTGTTAAAACAGGGGCGGAATTTAATAAATTGGAAAGGTCGCTGAACTGCCTGCCACCGGTTCAAATCCTGAATTACCTATTCAAAATTAAATATTCACGAGGATTTGAATCGGTGAATCAGGATTTGAACCGGTGGTAGGTAGTTCAACGACCTCTCAAATTCATAAAATTCGGTCAAATGTCATTAAAAGTACTTTTAGTCTTAAGATAGAAAAAAATTCACGAGAACCTCCCTCCTCCCAAAAATTTATTTTCACAAATTCAGTAGAAACCCATCAGCTGGGAAGGGGTAATGATATTTTAAGAAATCTATACCCAAATAAGTTTAATAAAGTATATTAACGAATTTTCATTTACTTTACCTAAGGGCAGCTCCTAAGATGTATATTAATATGACGGACATTTATCTGAAATTATTATAAATTAACCTTAGCTCCAGGGTGCACGATAATACTAATCTACGGAGATATTTTACTAGTGGATCAGAGGATCCAGGGTGCACAGTTGGCATGATCATTTTATAAAACTTAATAATTTCTTTCGAATCTGTTACGAGGGAGCTGCATTACAACATTGATTTTATAATTACAATGTTAACAAGTAAATGTTACATATAAAGCATAAATAACTCCATGATATGTAAAATCTGAAAGATTTAATCTATATTCAGAAAGCTCAAAGAAATGATTGACGAGAAGAACGTTTTATAATGAAATAACAATGTAAATTTTGCATAATGTAAATTGTCAACAGAATTGGAGAATTTAGAGTTCTTCTGAATCCACTAATCCAATGCTTAAATGTAAAAAAATACAAAATTAAAACAAAATCAAACTAAAAACGGCAAGTTTGGGTAAAATAAAAAAGCGAAATAGAAAAATGAACTTCAACGTATTAAAATCTCTTTTCCTTTTCCCCAAAATTTTTGGTCTCCTGAAACATTTGTAACCCACACATAAAAACATTAAAAAAATCCTTTAAGATTTTGGAATTATTTTCTTCTTTATCTTCTTAACCTGTGTCGGTGTTAAGGTTTGGATAGGACTAGTCTCCAGACCCTGGCCCTTGATGCTGGATCGTTTTATCAACTTTTTCTGCCCTTTTCCTTTTGACAGCTTTGAGTTCCTAGATTCGGTTTTATTTTGCCTCGGAGAAGATGCTCGGGAGTTCGATTTGGATCCAGGATTTAATGCAGGCTTGGATCCAGGTTTAGATGAGTCCAGGAGACCGGACTTCATAACTTTAGAGGATCCAGGACGAGGACGCTTGGAAGGGGTCTCTACTGAGCGACTAACAGAACTAGAGGATAACTGGCGACTCAACTTTCCCGCCGCCGATTGAGAATTTTTTGTCGACAAAATTTTTCTTGGAATTTTGGACAGAGATCTGGAACCCTCCGGACTACTGGGAGATTTAACCGAGAGTTTTAACTGCTTGACCGCGGACTTTTTTAAACCTGTCATATTCCGGAGCCGGGTTCTAATCGGAGACGCTTTAGAAGACTTTAGTTTATTGGCAATCTCTGCTTCCGCACTTTTTATATAGTTCCGCACAGAATTCCGAACTCCTTTTAAATTCTTCGATGACGAGCAGGTGAGACGAGTCCATGGATTCGATTCCGTGAGATCGAGTATTGAGACAGCTAAACTTTTCCCTGTATCCTCGAAGGTTGTCGGACTGTATTTAGGTGGTATATCATAGATGGGCGGAGGAGAAGCTCTTCCTCCATCCCTACTCGCCATTGGAATGTTGTTTGTGAACCTACCAGTGTTGAAATTACACTCCAGCGTATAGCAGTATGTGATTCCTGTAGCTCTGTACACACTAACCCTACCTGATCCCTCCCGTCCTGCTCCGGTGTGTCGATCCTTCAGTATCATGTTCCGTTGAGAAAAGTTGCAAGCAGGGAAATCAAAGTTTGCGCTGTTTATCGACATTAACTTTGGGAAGAGAAGTGCATTCACCTTGGTTTCAATATTGCTGAAATGGTTTCCATAAATAAAAATTCCTCGTTTAGACGCGTGTCCATGAATATCTAGGTACATGAACAAACCGGAATCTCCATGTTCTCTAGGAAACGTGGGCCCAGCATCAAAGTTCAGCAAATCAGTATTGTCCTTAGAACTTCCTTCTGATTTCAAATTGTTTGGATTTACCGAGGTGTTAAAAGCGCCGAGAAAATCAGTCCTGGAACCCTGTTCAAGTTTAGCGGGGGGGAGGAAATCAAAACTAACAGATTCCTCCACATGCAACCCGTGCACATTCTTGCTAGGGGATACAGTATGGCTGGTCACGGAGAAATCTGCAATACTCTCATCCCCCTCCGAGCATCTACTATTCTCCGTCATCTCATACCACTGTGAACCATAATCATGTTTGAACGGAGAGAGGGTTGGGAAATTTGAACTAGAGCTACGAGTTGATGAGGACGAGGTTCGGTTTGATTTATTTCTCCGAGTTGGCACCTCCCAGGTAAAGTTACTGTCAGCGTCTTTAACACTCTCAGAATCAGAACAAATTATATCATTATGGACAGTTGTATCTTTCAGAGGGCTCGGAGTGGGAAGGGGCGGAGATGGATGATTAGAGGTTTCCTCCTCAACATCTCTGCCAAGGTGTGCGTAGAGGACTAGTTTCCTGGCTGCGTAGATTGTTGGATGTAATAAGATTGATGGATTGCCGTAAACACGGTTCAGATTTACTCCACGAGTATCCGTCCTGGAAATAAAAAATTGTTAGTAGAAGTTTAATGATGTCTTTAGTTATTAACATGTAAAAATATATAATTTATCCTTTCATACCTGTAGTGTCCATTAAAGACCCCGTCAGGGTTAAGCATAGGAACCAACTTGAAAACGTATTTTTTTCTCAAAACTGCAGCTCGAACATCATTCTCCCGTAGTAGAAACCTGAGCAATCCGTTCATAACATGAGAAGAGCAGGTTTCTCCGGGATGAACTCTGGCACTAATAAACACAGTTTTCTTTCCCTCAAACATGTAGGGACGGTTATCCGACTCCTCGAGGAACAGATTGGACAAGGTCACCTCCTTCTCCTCCAGTATACCATTCATCCCTGATATAGTCAGTAAATCCATCCGTCTCTTCTCTAGACTTCGGATAACATTCTCCCTGTGGAAGTAAACAGCTCCTGACGGAAGTGAACTTAACTCTGTGAAGGATTTCATTCCGTTTCCATGTTTCCGGTAGAGTTTATCAAGGTTGGTCTGAAGCTCCTTGTAAGTGTAGGGATATGTGAAAGCGAAATATGTTGTGCCAGTTCTAGTTTCAGGATTTCTGAACTTGAAACTCATCCGGAAATTATGTTCCACGGTTTCGTAGGTTGGCGGATCTCGAATTCTAAAAAAACACGAATTGCCCTTGGAAANTTCAGCTGTATGGTTTAGTAGTAAGGTTTAGTAGAAAGATTCAGTAGTAAGGTTCAGTAGAAATGCTTAGTAGTAAAGTTCAGTAGTAAGATTCCGTAGTAAGGTTCAGTAGTGATGAGGTAAGATTAGTAATAAGAATCCGTAAGGAGCTTAAGTACAAAGATTCAGTACGAAGTTTCAGTAGTAGGGTTCAGTCGTCAGGTTTGGTTGTAAGGTTCGGTTATAAGGTTCATTCGTAAAGTTCAGTAGTAAGGTTCAGTAGTAAGGTTCAGTGGTTAGGTTCACTAGTAAGGTTCAGTAGTTGGGTTCACCTCTCCCATTGAGATTTTCCAGGAGCCAGATAGACAGGACACATCCCTTGACTGAACAGCTTGGACTGCTTATTCAGGTTCATCAAAGTGAACCTGATTACTGCTCCGGGGGGTCCTTCCTCCAGTCCAAAATAGAACCAGGTTCTATTCCCATTCTCAAACTCCGTATTCTGACAATCCGTTCTAGTCCACAGTTGGAACTCATAGTCCGGAGTCTCTGCTCCAACACATCTTTGGTGTAGAGTGGAGGTAGAGGGCCGAGGGTTCACGTCTGTGACACATTCCTCTCTGGGTTCTGCATCTAGTAGCTCAACCCTAGCAAGGTTACCAGAGTCAAAGTTAGTTGTGAACTTGAAACCGGCAACATTAAACTCGTCGCCTGTCATTCTTCAACTATGTAAACAATAACATGTTTTAGCAACTTTTTATCTGAAAAGACATATTACATATTTAGTTAAGGCTTACATTTTCCTAAAGTTTTTCAATTTCTTTTTTGAAATTCTAATGTTATCGGTTTTTCTTCTTTACTATATTTCGTTTAATTTTTCCTTATTTACATTCTTATATTTTTTTGTTATCTCGATGGAAGATTAACGACAGGAGAAATTAAAAGTAGAGGGACAGATGTTTAAAAAATTAATATTTTCGAGGACTCGCCCTCCTTTCTAGTTATTGAGGGTGTAAGTTCATTCAAGATGAAAAATACTTGTTCTGGTATCAAGTTAAAGTATATAAAAGATTTACTGTGAAATGTCTGTGCTGAGCTGGGGAACTTTTGTAATGGAAATCCATAATTGCTTGATATCGATATCCGCAGTGGGCACTTTAGAATTTAATGCAGTATCTGCTTTGTCTAAATTCTATATTATCTCATTGGAGGAACGTGAAATAATTCCCTGGCTTCTGAATGGTTGTTTATGGGAGTCTAATTAGCACTTCACGGGATATGAAATTAAGATCAAATCAATCTGAAGATTAACAAATAATAGAGATCAATTATTGATCTTGATATTCACAATAATCTCTGGTTATTTGAAAATGTCGAGAAGCTGAGAGAGTGGTGAAAAGTTGATAGATGGGGAATACAGTAAATTATTCCCTATCTACCTACTTTGGGGGGGGTCCAAAAATCGTTCTCTAGGACAGACCCAATAGGGCAAGGTATCATATGAGCAAGGTCTTGTGTTGGAATCATTAAAACTAAATTATTTTCTTACCGGTCGCTGTACAATCCTTCACTACCCAATAGACATAAACTTTGTTAAAACAATCCACCGAATAAAATAACAGAAAAAGTTCTATGATCAATAAACTAAAAGAAATTCACTATTAATATACATTTAATTGTTGCAATTAAAAGAAAGGGAGCTCCTTAATTTTCTTGAAATTTTGCAAGGATAGATGACAGCGAGCGTACAGCACCGCTAAAAGTTCAGCTTTCTCAACCCAAAAATATAGAAATCACTCAACCTCGAGAATAAATAGAAGACGACATTAGTACCTTCTATGCTTCGTTCATGGTGTATTTTTCGACCTACGAAAATCCGCTTTACTCCACTTCTGACCTACGCCAAATCCGCTATAATACACATCCGACCTACTAGCAGGTGGTTTAACAGTTGCTATATGGACTTATGGCCGCAGCGCCCAGCCCCCTAGCCTGTCCCAGCCGCGGCGCTCGGCCCCCTAACCTGTAGCCGCAGCGCTCGGCCCGGAAATTGTCTTATCTAAATATAATACAAACCTTTAAATAATACAAAAATAAATAGCTGGCATAGGTCCTATATTGCAGTATGTCGGAAAATTACTAATTAATTAGTAATTTACGATAATTCGGGCCTGCATAGGTCAATTGTATTTTCTATTTTGTTAATCCAACCTACACATGCATGAAAATTGCAAATCTTGTCAGGTAGTTGACTCAGTTGACAGTGCTACCATGAAGATCGATCGCTGTTTCCGGTGCACATAAATTTGTATGTCGGATGCGTAACCTACTTTTGTAGGTCGGATACATAACCTTTACAGGTCGGATGCACTGCGTACTTTCTGTAGGTAGATCGGATGTTGGGTTTGGTTTAGTCTGGTCCGAGCGCTGCGGCCACTATATCAAATTGTCACAGAGATAGCTGATATGTGGGGTTTGGTTAGGTTGAGACAATTTCTGGGCCGAGCGCTGCGACTATACTTAACATGTGTCATCTGACCTATTATATGTGCGTCCGACCTAAAAATGCTATGCATCCGACCTACAAGTTTTGCATCTGACCTACTGAAGTTGTGCATCCGACCTACTAAGGTGTTGATCATCTGACCTACAAATGCAGTGCATCTGAGGTCTGCATCCAACCTTCAGTTAAGTGTGCAACCGACCTAGGATAGGTCGGATACATTTACTTTTTTAGTTGAGTGTGTATCCGACATACAGTTCAGCGGACCAATAGCAGTCAGAAGCTGCTGAAAAACCACGTACCAGTAGGTCTGAAGTATCTGTTATACGACGGATGTAACGTTGGGCGGATGGAATGCAATCTAAAATATCCCAAGTCCTGGCATTTTTAAAATGTGGTCTGCCTTTCTTAAGCATTTAATATTGCCAGAGATATAAATGTAAAATCACCTGATAAACTGTCAATTTCTTTTTCTGATTATGACTGATTATGACAACTCTGATTCATTAACAAATAAATTCCTTTCGTCTTTCTTTTAATTCCTGCCTTACAACTTAAATGTAGCTTTTCAAATCGATATAACCTTCATAGTGTTTCAAACAAGATTAACGCTCTTTAAGGCTGTGACTCGTGACTAATGGTCATTACCTTACTTGTCATTTTATAAATTTCCTTTAATCTGTTGTCAAATTTTACCCAGTACCCACCCTCAAAAGTGTAATTTCTCTCATCACTAAATTCATTATTTTGAATCCCATTTTGAAAAAGGTTTTAAAGGATTATTATCCAGAAATTGACAGTCACAAACCAGAAAGGGAATATTTTTCAGACCTTTCAGACTAAAAATAAAAATTTTAAAATAACACAATGCCGAAATAATCCTTCTTTTAAACATCCAGAGAACTCGCAAACATAAATCTGCAAAAATGCCAAATCTTCAAACTTTAAGAAAATTACAGTGTGACCCATAAAATTGACATATCAGCAATCATTTTAATCGTATCATGTTCATATGAATTCAATCCTTTAACCAGCGGCTTGAAACAACTGAAGTGAAGTGGGACTGTGAAAACTATTTTTTCCACGTCTAATGCTAGTTTTTAATGTTTTATTCAGGATTTCAGCTTTATTTGGAAGTTAATAGAACTCACTGTTGTGTAAATACATTCCTTATTCACAGCATTAAAAATCATTATAAAAAATTATATTGTCATTTATGTTTAGTTACATAAAACTAATTAGTCAGAATTTTGAGACCCATTTTATTCAGACAAATTGATGATTAGTTAATTTTTTGAACCAGGTAGTTCTTTCTGTTATTTGTCCTCGGGATCTACATCCTCTACATCTCCATCCTCTTCCTCTCCGTCATCCTCCTCCTCTTCTTCCATCACCACAACGTTATCACCTTCCTCCTCGTCCAAATCGTCCTCCTCCTCCTCCTCTTCGACGTTCTCCACTTCGAGATCTGGTACTAGGAAGTATTGAAGGGGGTTTGGCCTGAAAGATTATCAAGTTTGAGATTATAATCATGAAGATTTTATGCTTTTATGCAACCTGAGCTGAAAACTTTAGAATGGGATATCCTTAATCCCGATCGGTTAATTAATCTGGAGATTAATAACAAGAGGAGAACAAGCATTATTTAATCTCGAGAATAAGAAAAAGAGTGGATCAAGCCTTAATCCCGATATCCACCATTCAAAAGTTCCCAGCTCTGAGCTGAAGACATTAAATCGTGGATATCGAGATCAATGCTTGATCCTCTCTTTTTGATAATCTCATTCTCAAGACTAATTTAAAGTTTAGATTAATTTCTAAAGATTAGAGATACGCTCTCTAACCTTTGAAAAACCAGTTTTAATTTTCCCGCATTTGTGGTGGAATATAAATTGGACTAATGATCGATTGAACGAATGCAAGTTTTGGATTAATGTTTATTTAATGTTTATTAAGACTAACGTTCAAGAGGACTAAAGTCCTAAAATCTGATAAAATGTTTTTAATAAGTTCATATTAAGATGTTTAAATTTACATTTGTTTAAATGCTTTAAAAATAGGCTTGTGAACAGCTGACTTTAGTTCAATCGGATATAAGTCCAATCGATATAACATCGTAGCTGAATTAGTAATCAAACGTATCTTTATTACATGTAGTAGGAAATGTGATATCCAACAGGAGCGGATTAAAAAAAAATTAAGTTTCCACAGTGGATATTCAGATTAAGTTTAGATCAGGATTAAGGGTTTCCAATTCTAAAATTGTCAGCTCTGAACTAATTCCTTAGACATGTTTATATTCATCAAACTAAACGCGCTTATAATAATCAAAATCAAAAAGTTAATAAACAATAAAAGAATGAGTTTTTTGGGGGGGCCCATCTATTTTTACTATGAAGTAATTCGGTGCTTGTGATTTTTTCTGTTTCATTGAGGATCTGGATTAAGTTAATGCAAAAATGGATCCGGATCCAGCAAAATACAATTTCACAGAATCGCTTTTCCATTAAAAATGTAAAATATTTTCTCAAAAGCAATTTTTTACGCCAAAATGTGATGCCAAAATTTTCAATAATTGTCTAAAATTGTCCAAAACAAAAGTTGAAAAAATCTAGTTTTATGAAAAATAAGGATGAAAATAGAAAAATTTGATTTTATATAAACATCTTTCTGTCAATCAAGTTTTTCATAGGGATACCTAACACATATTATTCTTAATATTTGATAAATTAATATATGCAATTCTGGGGATTTCTTCCCTTCAGTACCCTGACAACGAGACCTATTCCAAAATGTGACGGGAAAAACTAGCTACTTTCATCTGCCCGTGTGGAGTCAAACCAACAGTAGGGCTACTCTTAAAGAAATTGTAACTGCTTTAAGTTCAATTTTTACTTAAGATTAGAAAGCCTTCATTAAAAATCCCTAAAATATAATTTAGGAACATGCATTTTTAACGAAATTCGCAATTATAGGGAGCACGCCTCAAAATACAATTTTAGCCGACGATTTTAAATTCGTCACATTCAAAAACCACTAGAAGAGACAGTAAACATGCTTTTACCATTAAATTTCGAAATTTATTTTTTTCCAAAGACGTAAAACTTGCATATATAATTTTTTGGTTTAAAATAAAAATTCGCCAGGAAGAATAAATTCTTACCACATATCATCCTTGATGATCTCTCCGATCTCATCGTTGGACGGATCCTCGTTGTCTGAATACCAGGTGAAGAAGGTTCGGTTCTCCAGCTTTCTTTTCCTCCCACCCTTCTGCAGAGCAGCTTTCTGAGCTGCCTTAGCGGTCAGATCAAACCCTTCCTTCCACTTGACCAGGGTCGAGGTAGATGTGGGGTCTCCCTTACCATCCAATTGATACTCCTTGCACAATGTGTCGTTCTCAAAGTAAGGATTAGAGTCAAAAAAGAAATTGATCTTGAACCCGGATTTTATATCTTCGAATTCCTCGACCTCGAGTTTAGAGAGATGCTGGAGGGCGTCCTCTTCATCCTCTTCAATAATCATGGATAACTGAGGATGGTTGATGAAGGATGTGAGCCAAAACTTGGGAATGTTTTTAATTATTTCATTTCTTTTATCAAAAAAAGGTTTCCGTAATGTGTTGTATTTCTGTTCAACTTTCAGGATTTCCTCGCTGGCTTTCTCATTCATCGAATCGATCTCGTTTTGACAGCTATCGATCTCCTCCAGTGCTGTTTGTGTTTCTTTATCGAATTCTTGTTCCTGGACGGTAGGATCAGTTTTACTTTTCTTACTGGTCGGCTCAACAGCCTCCACTCCATTCTCTCCCATTCTAATATTCTGAAAATACACTGACGTCAATTTATGATTTTACCCAATGAACTTTGATAAGTTGAACTTATTGATATGATATGGGAC